TTTACATATATTTTTAATATAAATAAAGTCATAAAGTCAAAAAAAATAATAGTAGTTAACCTGCAAATATTTGTCCGCAAAAGTCTTCGGATATACCAAACGTACTTATACGATATTACCCTCTCTATTCAGCTACTTGCGATCTTGATTATGCGCAGTAATTGTAAATAGAATTTTCCTAATTTCCGCTATGAGTACATAAGCTTTTAAATATATATCTCCAACTCCAGCAGTATTTAATAATTATAATTAATTAATAAGTTAAGGAGCGGTTCCTTGAAAATTAATTTTTTCCAAATAATAAAAATGAATAAATGCTATTTAATTAACGATCAATTTTTTTTTATATTTATATATTTGAAATTTTGTATATTTCTTTTGCTAAGCTTTTTCTTTTGAAAAATAAAACACTTTTTACCTAATTAAACTTAAATATAAAACATATTTTAAAAATATGTATCGGGAATTTTCAAGATTTTAATAACGGAAAGAATTTCTTTTAACTCTTAAGCTATTAACTATATGTAATACCATAAAGAAAAAATTAAATAAATACGAAATTATATAGACTTTTAATAAATATGTATGTATGTGTGAACAAAACGTATATAAAAAGTAAATACGGGCTTTACAAGCATTTTCTATTTCTTATACAAAATATTTTAACAATGGGTTAAGCATTAAAATAAGTAGTAGTTTTTTAGTTATTAAATTAATATTAAATATGGAGAACATATAAAAACTAGTCATTATACATACGAGTATATTTAAAGTTGAGAATATACATACTGTATAGATACTAGATACTAGATACTTATACATGAAAATAATCATTTCGAATCGGAGTCATATCAGTAACCAAAGTTAATGTTTTTAAAGTTCAATAAATATTTAATAGATAAAATTATATTAAAGTACAAACCATTAAAATTTTGAATTGTTGCGTATATCTCCAAAAATAAAATTAATATAAATATATGTTAAAAGAGATTGCTACAGGATTCATATATATATAGTATTATTAAAATAGAAATATAATAGAAAAAATAATAAAAATTATAAATATTAATTGTTGTTAAAAAATATTTCTTAATATTATATATAAATATAAAGTATTAATACTGTTAAAAGATGATTATAAACTATATAAAACTAAAACTAAAATTCCAATTTAAGCCACACGAAATAAAAACAAACAGATATACGTAAATAACTAAATCATATATTCATATAAAGTCAAATTATCCTACAATCTAAAATTTAAACCGAAAACGAATTAATTTAATTTCTTCATGGAGCACAGGGCTTCTTCATGGAGCACAGAAAGAATATTGCAGACATAGTGGCGAACTACTTCATAACTTTTTGATTATCTAGCTAAGACTCTTTTATACCAATTGATGGCACTAATTAATTACCAATAATTAATTATTGAATAAGTAGAATCTGTCTGAAATTGGTTTATTGGGATCAATTTACTATCAGGTGCTCAATTATTTAATTAATCAATTCAAAAAATTCCATAACCCATTCTATAACTAAAAAAAATGAAAATCTATTATTTTAAACTTAAAATCCCATTTAAATGACATTACAAAAACAACAAGAAAATCATTTTAGTTATATGATAATCAAATAGTTTTTTTTAAATATCAATTAAAAATTTTAAGACTACAATTATTGTTGAAAAATGAAAAAAAATCGATCACTTAAATGTAGTTAAAATGTTTTAATTATTTATTTCTGTCCGAGAAATATGACATCTTAACAAAATAAAAAATATATATTAAAAAAATTAAATGTTTTTTTAATTTAATTAAAATTTCTACATAAATGCATATACTGTATTAAACAATTAGGTGTAGTAGTACTATATCTTTATTTATTATTTCATTTTTAAATTTGTTTTATTACAAAGAAATTTATAGACTAATATAATAATAGATATAAAGCTTACAGCTATAGCGATTAATCATCGCCTGCAGGAAGTTTGGATTGATAATTTTTCCATATATCATAAAAATTATTAATTATTAATCAATTAAATATTATGAGCAAAGTCAGGAAACTGGGCAGCGAGGGAAAGCGGAACAAGTTTCGTTCAATAACAATAACAATTATTTTAGATCATTGAATTTCAATCAAGAATCTGTTTTTTTTTCTTTTCTTCTACCTTTTTCTTCGATCCATCATGTTTAGGGGAATGGGTGAAGTAAAAAGTTGTGGACGGGTATGGCTATCACCTAAAAGACTCTCTTTTCATTGTAAAATACTGACTTGCTTTCTTTTCAAGGCAAAGAAAGCGGTAACGCCGCATATGCCTCTCCTGACTGCACCCAGATTATATCAAAATATTCATAAGACTTGCCTTTACAATAATATTTTGCACAGTTGACAAAATTGACCTTTGCTTAAATCTTTAACACATGCTATTGTAGTCACTATTCGTGGGGCACGGTGGTTTGTGAGACCTCGTCAGGCCTGTGGTACACAGCAGATAGAAAGCGTGGTTACTTTCTACTATGCCAAAAAGTTCTCGAAAATGGAGAATAAGGTGGAATGCAGAAGTTCAGTACGTAGAAATAAACTACCGTGGGTGATAGACTGAGATGATGCCGGAAAATCGAAAAAAATGCTCAGTATAAAATATATGTTAATTCACCTATGGGGTAAATATATATCTCTTAAAATTATTCATATTTTGTTACAATTGAAAATCCTTTAAACATCATTTCATTGAAAAAACTTCAATTTAAAGAAAACGATCTTAAATCAGAAAATGATTTATACAATCCAGTCAAACCAGTCAAAAATTACCATATAGTTAAAAAATACAAGAAAAAGTTTCACAGCAACCCACTAATTGTTTTTATAGCAAGCAAATTTATGATCTTCATTACTATTCTCAAAACGTATCCAACGCTAATCTCTAACATTTTAGGGTGCTTCCAAACACGATGCAGATTTTTAATATAATTCTTTGCTTAATCGCCACATCTTAAAAATGTTTCTACAGAAATAATATATGTGAACATGTCCTTCCAATTTAAAAATAAATGACTACTAGAGACCCATAACTATGTGTTCAATTTATCTATCAACAAAATAGATTGGAGCTTCTTGTTTGTGGTCAATGACATCGCTTAAGACTTGAATGGACAACTAACTAGAATATATATGAAAATCCCACTACTTGTTTTATTTTTTGCCTTAAACCAAAATAGAATAATCTTAGTTTGTCTGAATGACACCATGACTATCAATAGTTAAGAAATATATATAGGTTGCAACTTTCGTGAGAAGAGTTTAAGTGAGAACCTTAAAAGTGCGAAAAAACCTTAAAACCTAAACTGATGGCCACTTTTTCAGCAAGTTTTTACATTTCATGTTGCATTGTCTAGGAAAAGTGTCTACAAAGGAAAGTCTAAATGTGAGATTCCGCATTTGCTCAAAATACAAAGAACTGCTCGATTTTTGACATGTTCGGATTTTGACATTATCCTCCATTCTAGGGCTAGCTTCTATTTCTCAATACTTCTATATTACTATATAAAAACTAATAAAAGTTTACATTTTTTTTTATAAATAAATAAGTATAGATATGTATATTGTTTATTAGTCTAATGTATAATTGAAATTCAGTTAAATTATCTCTGTTAAACATAGAAATCCTGTACGAAAGCACACATCACTAGATGAATAAGATACTTTTTAAAGTACTTTATTTGTACATCCATAACATTTCGTGAGAAATGTTCCAAAACGTGAATCGATAAACATTAAAACCATTAAATGACCATTAAATCAAAACTGGGGTTCTTATCAGCAAATACTATTTCACACTATATTAATTTTGACCACATAAATAATCATTTCCGACATCTAAATCTTTTTTCATTAATATGCGAATATATTGTATGTAGTGTTTGTTAACTGGTCAGAATAGATTTGATAGATGAACCGTAGAAAAGTAATTGATTCTTAATTCTCGAATTTTCATTACAATTAATTTTATTGTAATATATTCAAAAAACAAAAGACTACGTCTTTGATATCCGTCCTCAATCATATAATAAAGATGAATACGTACTATAATAAAAAATGGCTGTGAATTCATATCAACTCTGCTAGCTGATATTAGCCGATCAAGCTATTGTAAATTACTTTAATTACAATTTTATGAAGTTAATTATTAGAATTGTAAAACAATCTAGTTTTATTTTTACCATTGTTATTCGGACAATGGGTAAGACCGCCTAGCTAACCCAAGAAAATAAATAATAGCTCCGAAGTTGCTGATTTTTGGGAGTAAAAATTTTTATAAACTTCATATTATCATATTATTCATATCAACAAAAACAGGAATTTGTAGCTTGTTTCTGTTTCTTTCAGTAGTTAATGATGAATACTTGAATGTTTTAGGACGACCCAGATTTGGAGTAACAAAATTTGTTTATTCCGTTGTTTAGTTCCTGTTTCTTTTTCCTATAAGTAAAGTAAATTGTTAAGCAGTTGCCAAACTTGACATAAACCCAAGTTAAAGGTTAATCAACCTTATTGTCATATTACTTCTGATAAGACTATATAACATATATTATAACTATTGGTAGCAGTTAATTGTATAGACAGAACCTACACAAAATTAAATATAATTTCATCTGAAATTTGTCAGCCATTATAAGCTCTAAAAAATCAAATTAAATTTATTGACAGCTTTCGATATTTAAATTGAAATTAACAACAACAAAATTATTAGCATGAATAAGATTATTTTTTAAACAAACAAAATGTTCGAAATAATAGGCTGACCACAATTAGTATGCTTATCTTAAAAAACAAATTAAACAATAAAGATTCATGTCAGCTGTTAGTCAACTGTGAAAAGAAATATTTGCAGCTGATTATTTTAAAATTTAGAATATTAATACCAACCCATGTAAATATTATAAATCAAACCCATGTAATCTCAAACCTATCAAATATAAAAATTATTTGAATACTTTTAAATTTATGTATATTTAATTTAATTTAAATAGTTTCATTGCTTATCATCTTACGATATAAATGCAACAGCTTTAAGAGCTTTAATTATTAGATATATGAACTATTATAACTTTATTTAAAAAACATTGTATTTATTTTATTTAATTCGTTTAAACATTACTTTAAATTAAATTAAGACAAAACTTATCCACATTTGAATATTTATTCAGTGGCATCAGACTTAGAAACTGCAAAAGGTTCACTAACAGGAATAGAACCAGAGTTTGCGATGACAACATCCTTAACTGGGCGATCGCGACCATCAGTTTCGGTTTTTTCAATAGCACGTACAACGTCCATTCCAGAAAGAATCTTGCCAAAGACTACATGACGACCATCCAACCAGGAAGTTTGTTTTGTTGTAATAAAGAACTGTGAGCCATTAGTGTCCTTGCCAGCATTAGCCATGCTCAACCAACCAGCGCCGTAATGCTTAAGTTTGAAGTTTTCATCTGGGAAGCGTTCACCATAAATAGAGCGTCCACCAGTGCCATCTCCTTTAGTGAAATCGCCACCTTGGATCATAAAGTCCTTAATAACACGATGGAATACGCTGCCTTTGTAACTAAAATGATATTCAATTAGTTGTTTATTTGTGAATTAAAACCAATTTCTAAACAAAATAATCGCTATTTTCATTTCAATTTTACTATTTAAGTGAGCCTTTGTGGCTTAAATAGATAAATTAAATCACAAAGGGAAAATAATCCGCAAACTGTGCGCTCAATTTTTAAATTGAAGTATAGATAAATCTGTATACATAAGTTTAAATGTATATACATACATACACAGATTATGTTTAGGTTTATGAACACTTGTTTAAAATTTTTTATAGAAATGACTTATTATTGCAAGAAGTTTAATAATAAATCCCTAGAAAAATTTTATTGCTTGCATATACCGAGAATCCAAGCACTGTTTGCATACATTTCTGTTAAAGAAATGCAAGCCAAACAATTTAAAAATGGCTGAACATGTCAACTCTATCCAGGCTTCATTTTTGTTTACTGTTAATATTTTTGCTTGCCTTTACACATTTTAATTAGTAATAAAATTTGATTTTTTTTTGGAATAAATCGCCATCAAAGCAGTAAATTATGATGTTTGATAAGAATGTGTATGTACATATTAATTTCAAGAATCGAAGTTTTTATGATAATTCTGAACACGATTTCATTTATTTTTTTCCCACTTCAGTTACTTACCCTTCGCCTTGTGGTTTCTCAGCAAGTTCTTTGAAGTTTCTAGCAGTTTTCTCAACAGTTTTACCAAAGAGCCCTATTTCAATGCGTCCAATGGGATTACCACCAATGGTGATGTCAAAGAATACCTACGCAAATATGACGACATTAATTGTTAAATAAAACGCAGAAATATTACAGGTTATGAATATAATACCAAATATCTTTACTTACTTTATCTGTGACTTTTGGCCCTTTACTATCGTCAGCACAAACAATGCCGGCTGCCAAAGCAACAAGGAATAAACTAATTAGAACCTTCATTTTTACTTCTACTCCAATAAAACCACTTCACCAACAAATCCGTACTTGCGTTGACGAGAGTTCACAAGCAAGTGAGCTGCTTGCAAGATGAAAAATAAATGGCACCCAATAATAACAATTTTACTAGATGTAACACTTAATTCTTTTATCTCCTCAATATATAATTAAGTTCAATGAATCACTATTCTCACTATTAAAATTACAAATCATATATTTATTTAAAATATATTTATTTTACATAATATGTTAAGAATATGTGTATCAAAATGCAATGTATATATTATTATCTTGACCTAAAAATAAGTGTTCTATCTATCACTATAATAACACTTCTGTGATTTTATATGGCTAATGTGTTGTATTGTTTAAGAAGTGACACGTAATCAAAGAATACAAAAGAGAATAAGTTAAGAATCACAAACAAAAAAAAACCGACGTGGTGGGCAACCTTTTTAAATGCATGAAACTGTGATTGATTATAATTTTAAAAACAAGTTTATATGAAACCGCGTATAATGGTTTTACTTTCTTTCGTATTGTGTCAGAGTCTGTTAAGTAATACCGCCCTCGTAAAGAAATATATCTTAAATCACAAAATATTCTAGAAATTAGGATGAATTACTTTTGTATAGATATGTATTTATGTATAAGTATGAGAATAAGGCCATCAGAATTAATAAAACACTCAAACAAAAGATAAATAATCGTAAACTCTCCAATATTTTGTAAATTTTCTATTTATTTTAATGCTTTAAATTTTCATTGTTTTTCTTTCTAAAAAAGTAATTTGATGAAAAGTAAATAAATTTGTATGATTTAGTCTTTTGAAGTTCTATAGTCTTAATTTAAAATCATGACGAAACGCAATTGGAGATACATACAGTCACTCGCATATATCTGCGTACATCCCAAAAAAATTTAAAAATCAATCTTTCAACTCAAATTGTTCAACCATTTATTAATATTTTTAACCAATTCGTTTTTCTAAACATAACTATAATTTATTGTCTTCAATAATATTTTTTTTCCAAAATTTTTTAACAATGTCTTCTATTTTATTTTTAATTTTAAAATTAACACTACCAAAAAATCTATACGCAAAAGTAAAACGTATAGAGTTATCTGTTGCTGAGTTGCCAATCCATCGCGCATCTGTAGTACCTTGCGAGTTGTTTTAGTGTACCTTCAAACAACATATTTCTAGAGTGAGCTGTTTATTCAAGATCCAATATTCGTTTATAGCTACATAAAGAATATATGCTTAAGGTATGTTTTGCCTATAGTTTCAACATTTAATCACGATCTTACCATTGTACTTTTGATCAGAATGCATACTCACCACGAGTGCCCTCACCACGAAAATACCGATTGCTACTTTATGAATGTTAATATTTAATATTGATAAGAAATAGGTAAAAGTTTTATATTTTGTTCAAATTTATTGAAATATTGAATAATTATACATGTTTTAGTAAATTTATATTATATTTCTTAATAAATATTTTCAATTATTGACATTCTGACTAAACGTCTCATTGATTTCTGTTTTATATTACAAATAATAATATATAATTATACATAGTATATATTTTTATATAAAGTATTACCATTTTTTATTTTATGTACATGCTAATTTTGAGATATTGTACAAAATTTTATGACTAAAGTATAAAAATTATTTTGTAGTTAAATTAAAATGATAGTTTACAAAAAAAAAATAATTAAATTAAATAATAAAGATATATAAATTTGCAAAATATTTGTAGTATCACAATAGTTCAAAAAATATATTAAGAGGAATTGTTAAAAAAAACGTTATATGATTTTCAAAATCATGAATTAAAATATAAAAATGAGAACACATAAAGGATAGAAATTTTGCTTCCATTCGTACTTAAAAAAAAGTTAAATAAAGTTCGAATTTCACTCGAAAACAGCCATGAAGGATTGCAAGGTGAGCAACGTTTACGTTAAATCTTTTATAAAGTTATTAAGAAGATATAATACAATGGAACTTGGAAGAAACTTCAGTCATTACTACCAATTAGAGACTCTTGCTGTTCTTCGTCATTGATTCTAAAAAGTAAATAAAAAAAATATTAATTTATTATTATTTTTTTTTAATTAAAAAAAAACATACCTCAATATATTTGGTTTATGGCAACTGCATATCTTGCGGTATATAATTTTAAACAGGCGCATTAAAGGATCTGAGTCATCGTTTCGCATTAACAAAGAGACTAGTATTAGTGCGATAAAAATAGGTACAGATCCAATATAAAACATTGGAGAATATGGTTTCCTTTTTAACAAGAGATCAAAAACAATAGATAGTGGAATTTGTAGCGACATTGCTATTGTGCCTATTAATGATGACGTAAGGAAACAACCCCTAAATGGTAATATAAACTGTAGTATGCATAAATACAAAAATTTTTTAATATGCCTACTTACCACAGCCATAATGCTTCAGATATAACAGTGCCGACTAAGCCATTTAAAAATAAAACTGCAAACTGATTTTGATTTGGCAATTCAAATTTTTCTATTTTCAGAAAATTTAATATAAAAAATATTGGCCACATTAGTAACATATTCCAGAGACCAACAAAACCTGTAAATAATTAAATATTAATAAATTTTATTTTTTATATATTATACCAAATATATTATCAAGAGTTACCAAAAAATAAGGGTATATCAATTTTTTCCTCCGTGTCACTTTTTCTCTTAACAAATACTAAATAAGCTGCATAGAAAAAAGCACTAAACAAAGCTAAAAGTGCGCTTCGAGAAAAGTTAGCATCCTCTATATCGGATATAGTCACAGTTACCTATAAATGCAACAATTTTACGCTTTATTATAACAATTTTTTGTTTCCATATGTGGAATCAATTACCACTCCACCAATATTCATTGCGACTGCAATAAACTTAGTTATTGTGAATTTATCTCCAGTTGCAGATGGAAAGAATGCGGCCAAGACTAATGTGAAGAGCGATGATGACGAACTCAGAAGTGTTACCATGGCTGTTTCGCCCCACTCTAACGAAATTTGAAATAAGTAATTTGCAAAGAACCACTAAAACAAAAGAGTATATGAATTGTTGATATATTTTAGGTTTTATTTTGTTATTTCGTTACCAAAACACAAAATAGTAATGCTGTCTTCGCAGTTTTGTGATGAGTCTTCTGACGCTTGATTCGCATGCTTGCAGCATAAGATAATCGGGCCATTAGTGCTTCTGTTGCTTCATGCGCCGACATTTCACGTACTTCTGCCATTTTACTGAAACGAACGCTACGTATGCTGGAGTCATCACTCTCTGTTCCTGACACTACTCCGCCTGTTCTTATTGGAATGAATGTTGGATCACTCTGTCAATAAAAAATATTTTGTACTATTATTTGAACAAATGTTAGGAAGTACTGTGATTATTTTTAAAATTATAATCGTCTTACATAAGTTTGAATTTACATATATACATATAAATAACAATTTTAGCTTATATGTATGGATATGCATTTATTATTAGAAAATTGAATAATTTGATAGAAATAGTTCAAGAACTAAAAAGTGTTTATAAATGTGGGGCCTACTTGTGAAGTATTTTTGGGAGGTGCTGAACGGCACTTGAGCGTCGAATGGCGACGACCAGCTGCGAGACGTAGACCCGGCCGTTCTTTAGGAACCATTAATATTTAATCAAATTATTTGACGTAATACTTTTGAATTAATACCTTTGAAACAAACTTTATGTTCTACGAACAATATAATTTATTCTGTACATATTTGTTAATAATTCATCCACAAAAATTTAATTGAATATCTGAATACTATAGTTTAAACTATAATGACATAGATAATTTTCAGTAATAGTAAGAATAAAGGAATGATCCAGTTATTATCGGTATTCATGTACGTTTGCACCAATCAGTATAGCATAGTATTTACTTGGTGTTAATGTACCATTAACCATGAGACTATTTGATTTCACATAGGATAAAACATTTCTCATTTAGTGAATGATATCGTCTTTCTTGTGTTACAAAGGATGCAAATAGATTACTCTCATCAGTTCTGTTCTAGAACTGAATTTTTCTTTAATGATAAAGAAACAGATTCAAAGTTGTAGTAAAATGACGATTTTACCTAACTGGAGACTATTACATTATTTATGTAAGTAAAATGGAGTTTAAGTGTATAGCAATTAGTTTTAGGAGGCCTCCCGGGCCTTGTATTTAAAGTTTATCTTCTTAGAAACAGGAAAACTGTTGATAGCATCAGCGCGAAAGTCACAATCGCTCACTGCAGTTGACGAAGTTCGCATTGTAATCGAATTATATATAAAATAGTAGCCAGCAGCTGTAGTGCACAATACCACAGAAATGATTTTGTTCACCTTCATTTTGTGATATTTAGCTACTGGCGCCAGCTAAAGTAGTTCTTATGTTCAGCAAACGATTAAACAATTGCAACCAGCTACAGTAGTTAGAAATGTCAAAAATGAAACAGAGTAATTAATTTTCTGTTGTAGTCAATGTTGTTTATCTGGATCAGTGCCAACAGCTTAGGCTGTTTTGACCAATAGAGGATAGATATTTTAACATGAGTATTGTAGTTACTGTGATTAAAACCGGAACTTCATTTGATGTAAAATTACATTTTTCAAAAAATCGCTGTGCCACAAAGAACACTAGAGTTGATAGATAGTTCTCGCTCCCTCTCAAGGAGGAAACTATAATCGAACGTATAGCTTCAGTTGGTACAGGCGAAACTTCTTGAAATTCCATTGCGGGCGTTTTTCCGCAAATTATACTGATACGTGTGTTAAGAACACTTTTAACCCCGAACTGCACGTTAAAAAACTATAGAATCTGTAATTTATATAATTGAACTAAAGTAGTGCTCATCAACTACTGTAAATAGATATTGTTAACGCTTAATTGTGCGGGCTTAGTTGCTAATATAATAATAGCTTTGATATATTGAATAATATATATACAACTGAAACAAATTCTTAGATGATATTAGAAATTATTTAAATCTTATTACCTACTATTTTTAATACTACTATTACACTATAAGTCGACGGACGACATTGTGTCACAGTCGCTATTTTAATTATATTGATTTTTATATTTATTTATATATTAATTTAAGATACATCATACTGTAAAAATGAAATTTAAAATGAAAATAAATATACATACATACATACATTATTACCTACTATGAATTGAACATTTTGTTAAACTAGCTTAAAGATTAATGTGCATTACTGTCACACTGTAAGTAAAAGTTAATTTTAAACATTTGCAATTTGTTTGTGCTATTAATTTGATAAGATTGATTTGATTTAATAATTTTATATATGCCATTTCATATATTGGTGTTCTAAAACATGAACTTTTTGTGTTATATATGGTATTAATAAAACTTTCAAGTCGTATTTACATTTGTTCCGTTATGGAATTCAATCACTACTAAATGAAAAAATAATTATCATAAAATAATAATAATAAAGTAATATTCATAAAATAATAATAATGATTTATAAAAAAAAAATAATAATAATGAAATAATAATAATAACCTAATAATAATATACTAGCAATAATAAACTAATAATAATAAAATAGTAATTGTAGGATAATATACTAACAATAATAAACTAATAATAATAAAATAGCAATTGTAAAATAATAAAAAAAATTAATAAAAAATAAACATTCGTGTCAAATGTTATCACTTTTTTTAAGAAAAAGCAAGTGTGTGAAATGCAAATTAAGAATATATTCTTTTATCATTTATGCACAAATATTTTAAAAAATAATTAAATTTCTCACATCGAGAGACATAAGAATTATAGCAATTTTAAATTATTACATACCAAAGATGCTTGATTTGTATAATAGTTCTCATCATCTAGAGTTTGATCCATTATCTACATAAAGAAAATATTTCGTTTAAGCATATCAAAGTTAAGAAAGATACTTACTGTGTAATTTCCATTTTGTTTTTCGCAAGACTCCTTCCAAGGTGCAATCAACCCAATAATAATAAGATAAATAGTAAACATGGACGTCTTAAAATATGTACAGAAAAATGGTTTGTCATACTTTTCGTCATCATAGAGGAACTAAGAAGAAGATTCACCATTAAAACGGAATATTGCGAATTTTTGAAACAAATAATCGACATACCTTGGTGAGTTCGCTCGACGAAACCCAGATTACATCAACCAGTACTAAAATCGTTACGCCTAGGATAAGTTTTTGTGTTTTGCTCAGCATATTTTGATTTTGTACTGAATAGCAGGCAGTCGTGCTTAATACTTTGATTATTTTGAGAACTAAATTATTTTATATGAACTCAAACAAACGTGTGTAGCGGTTACGGTTGTAAAAGGAATGAATCTGTTTTTAATACTCTTATTTATTTAATAAATTGTGCGTAGGTTTTATTTATAGTTATTTGTCTGCGTTTATTTATCATTTTTGATGCTCTTTTGATGTTCTGATGTGCTGTGTTTTGAAATCTGAATTAGCATTCTCTACGGATTTACTCGGTTGCTTGGAATGCGCCTGTAAGTATCTGCAAAAATGTTTACTTTACTTAGAGATTAGGTTAGTAAATATATAAATTCAGTTGATTTAATGATATGAAGATTTATTTATTTTAAATTATTTCACAAAACTATGGCGAAAACACTAACACAAATTTTGATATCGTCACCATATGAAAATGATTTGATTTGAAAATGAAATATTTTCCAAAAATACGGAATTTAAAAGTAACTTATTTGATTAATATAGGTTTGTGATATCTTTACATGACTACATACATGTACTGTAAACAATATTAATATTTTTAATCAAATATTAATCGAAATTATATATTAAAAACTGTTTTCCATATTTTCATAAACAGTGGGTGTAATCCACAGTACCAAAAAATTTTTTTTTCATTATTATTCAAAAAATTATTTCAGTAAAACACTCAATTAAAAAAAAATATTTTTTTGTAAGTGGATAATGATTTATTTTTGCCAAAAACCTCATTAATAATATAATTATTTGGAAAACCGTTCGACGTAAAATTCTGCAGACAGAACAAATAAAGCTTGTTTTGTGTTCTATGCTTAATCAAAAAACTTTTACGCGAATGGTTAAAAGGTTTATGACATTTAAATAAACAGAAATTTTTGCTTACACTTTGCTGTAAATAATTGATAAAAAATATTATTTTTTCCAAATATGTAATACTACACTGACAGAACATATATCTTTCGCTTATTGACAATCAGCTGTTTAGTGCTACCAAATCTCAGCAAAAAAACACAGCGGCTGCATAAGTTTTGTTGATATTTTTATATGAATAATAATGCATCTCTCTTCTCTTCATATGAAATTCGAAAAGATTTATTGAGTACATATTTCTTTATTATAGATATTGTAAATTTTCTAAGTGTACGATTGACTTTCGAAGAAGAAAATATATACATATTTATATTGGTACAATATCATTTCAAGTAAAGAATATAAGACTTTATTTGCGATATATGTACATGTGTATATTCTTGCACTGAACTGTACTCAACAGCACCTGCGACTAGTTCTCAGGTGTATAGTACTAACCGCTTGATAATCCACTTTACTTGGGCTCAACTGGTGAATTTTACATTGAGTTGTCATTGCCGGTCTCAATTGTCCTCGTACGATACACCTTGGAACTAGACTTTTCACTAGGTCATAAGGGGTAGAATGGTGATAATTGTCCCCGCACTATACACCGCGGCATTAGTATTTATTTTATTGATTTGTATTTTATATATTATTATATATATATTTATTTTAATATATGTATATATATTATATATTTTTATATTAATGAATTACTTTCTAGCTGATTGTGCTGTAGTTATATCATATCTTCTAGGGATTTTACTGATAATCTATAGATGATGTTGCAACCTTGTCTTAAATGAAAAAAATTTGATTTATACGCTATTAATTAAATTTGGTACTTACAGGAGTTTGGACACATTCATTCGTATTCATCGCAGCGTGTTTTAATGACTTCTGTATACCGTTCTGTAATTAATTATATTAATTCTAAATATTATATATTATTTCACAAATTTTTTTATTACATTTTTAAAATTATTTGAAATAAAGTAGCAGTAAAAGCGATGAGCGATGTTTATAGAAAGTAAGACCAACATATTTAAAATCGATATCTGTTAACATTATATTATATGGATTAAAATTAGAAACCTAAACATTTATCTTAGGAACTCAGGAGTTGTATATAATGAAACTAATAACCACATCGTACGTTCCACATCTGTTCAACACTATATAGTAATCTGTATATAAAGTGTCTAATCCTTTGTGGATGTTAAACTTACCTGACAGTGTCCAATAATGCAATAGGTATGTTAGACGATTGTTTATTAATTAATCTGTTTTAGAATTAGGGACAAATAACTTTCTGAATGGCAAAAATAACAATAAACACATTAACTAACATGAAATTTGTAAATATTAATAATAGGCTAGCAATGGGCTTTATATTTCTGCTAATTAAATTTTCTAACTGCACGTGAAACTGCAGAAGTTCTAACTCGACTCTTTTTGTTCCGACAAAGGGATGAGTCCATTTTATATGTGTACGATTTATGAATATTGGATAAATAAATCTCTACTATTTTATAGAACTCGGACAAAATCAACCACAATGAGTGTTTTTCTAATCTGCTGAGTGAAATTAAAGGGAGCAAAAGGTTTCTGTGCCAAGTTTTGTACTTTAATTTTGTTTTACATTTACAATTTCTACGTATATAACTTTACTTTCAACTCCATCTAACTGCATCTAAAAATTATATATAACAAATACAGTACCGCACAAACTAAATCGCATAAAAATTGTGTAGAGTGTAGAGTAGAATTTAATTTCATTACACTGCTATTCTGCGATTTGCCCAAAATTGTGAAGAAGTTTGCAATAAGGCGTCAAGCGATTATACGTGTATTAAAGAATAAATATAATTACAAAATGAATTATTCGTTTAAACAATAACAAATTAAGAAAAAATGCATTAATTATCAACAGAAAAATGTGCGGCTAAACTAAAAAAGTCTACAAACCAAAAAAGTCAAGCTGTAACGATTACATTTGCGACTTTTATGGACAATGCGTTTTTCAAGAGATGTTGAAAATTTATAGAAAAATAAAATAAAATGTGGATCACGATCACGATATGTTCTTAAAAGGTATGTGTTATTATGTGTTATATAAGCGTTCAGTTGGGGGGTCTTTGGTGTGAATTGAGTGATTACAGATTTTAATTAAGATTGCAAAATTACAAGCTTATAAAGTAAATGATTGCCACTGCAAGTTTTTTATTCTACAGGAAATGTTTAACCCTTTAATTATATGCTATATTTAGTTCAGTAGAACATTTAATGTTCAAAATTGTGAACGATGTGTGTTTTGGTCTTATAACTTTTAAAAAAGCAGTCACTCTAATCTCTGAATGAAAAATTGTTTGTGTTGGGTTGTTACTAATAATTTAGTGTATTTTATTCGGATATAGTTCAAAAGCTATATAGAATGAATTAATAATTTCATTCGAAGTTATCGGTTTTTTGTAGAATCACTTAACAATTCTCATTTTCACTTCTAGGTTCTTCTTGATCTCGATCTATAGTTAAGGCCACACTTATTAAAAGCATTCTCTATCCAATCGGTGACCTGCTTTTAAAACTGTATTCGTCAACAAAGCAGATATATTGCACAGTGAGAAGTAATTCAACACTAATTCAGTAATTCTTTTACGTATTTTGAATCTAATTTTTGGTTAACTATACTGTCCGTCATGTGGAAATTTGGTTCATATTTTGAAAGTATTCTAAGCAAATAGATAATTTATATGTAGCTAAGGTGAAGACCAATACAATGCAAATTTATTAGTTGGTAGCTATGTGCCGCGTCTGAGCAATTCAGTAGGTTTTTAGTTGCCAGGGATATCGCCACGATCTGGCATCAATTTTGATTAACCCACATCCTTGTATTCAACAACCTAGTATTTGTTGCCATTCCACCCACAGGCAATATTCCTCTTGATTTAATCCTAGATATGTGGCAAAAACCTACTCAATTATTTTTTAAAAATGTTTTCTTCGCTGAGGTTCAATCTGCTCCTTCGATTTCCGCACTTTACAACCGTGTTTTCATAGTTACTGATCACAGAGTCTATATCTAACATGACCTACTATTTTTGTAGTAACATATAGTAAAAAAATGGTTTTTGTTAAAAAAAATTTTTTTAAAAAAAAAAAGACCTCCGATATTTTGTGCTTTCTGATTTAAATATAAAATGACTTAACAAAGATTTATAAAAGTTTCTATCTTGATCCATTTCATTCTTAGGCCAATTTGTCCAATTTGACTGGAATGTCGAATAAAATTTATATATGTTAAGCACATTCACTTTTGCTTTGATTATTGAGATTAGGTTTTCAGCATTCTATTTACAAAGGCTAGAATCTATACATAAATGTAGTAAAAAGAATATTGTCAGCTACTCAATATTAAAACTCGTAACATTACTATAATTAACAATAATTAGCGTGACGAATGCTTTTAATATATAAATGAAAAAATAAGCTTTTTTCTGAAATTATTTTTTATTTTATAAAAGTATAAAATATCGTACATTATACAGGATATAAGACTGTACCCAGTACGAGTTTTACAAAATCGTCCTCATTAATTTTGCCATTTCCATCAACATCAGCATGCTCAAACATTTCGGTTAACTGCTCTTCATTTAAGTTCTCCTTCAATTGGAATGAAACACGCTTGAGATCGTCAAGGGTGAGTGTACTTTCTCCACTACCACAAAATAAACGAAAAGATTTACGCAACTCCGTTTCAGTATCTTTTTCACCCATTTTCATTTCCATTAATTTTACAAAATCGTTAAATGATATGCGTTCAGTACCATCTTCATTTATTACAGCAATCATTTGTTTTATATCATCCTTCTTCGGCTCAAATCCCAAAGCACGTAGTGCAACTCGAAGATGATTTTCGCGAAGTAATCCTTTGCATTCTTCGTCAAGCAACTCAAATGTATACTTCATATCCCTTAATTGATCATCGGTGAAACGTAGTCTTGGTATAAACACTTTTGGCTTATTATCAACAAAACTAACGTCATCATTATCATCATCTTCTTCAGGAGATGCACCGCGTTCTGCTAATAATTTTTGTAGAATTTTATCCGGAGTAATAGCTCTGTTTAGTATGGTTTGACGTCTGCGCATTGCCATCTCTGAAATTTAACTGAAAATACATAATTTAATTAATTAAATGAGTATAAAAAAATCAAATTGTTTAAGTTTAAAGACATACAGTTTCGAAATTGCTATAAAATATATACACATTTGAGATAAACTAAAACGAGAGGACCATCCCGAAATATCAAAACATAATGTCTATAAATTAAAATATATTTAATTTTTAAAAAATTACTGAACCAAAACAATGAAATTTTTAGAACTGTTTACTTTAATTTAATAATTTAATAAATTTAATAAATTAAAAAAATTAATATTTTTAAATTAATGTAATAAACATTGAATATACATGATATTCTAAACTCTATGAATTAACTAGTACGGAAGACCTTTTTAGTATTAGTAACAAAATCATAAGTTTAGTCATTAGTAATAAATGCAACAGTTTTTTCTGTATATATATATATGTAAGCATGTGTAAATATAGAATATGTAAATTCAAGTTATAACTATTTTCAGAGATCATCTAAATACAGTTTATCAGCTCCAATGATTTCTTAAAGAATGATCAAAAATTTTGTTAATATGAAGTTAAAAGTGCAAAAAAAAGCTAGGCATAAGTTTGGGTGAAGTTTTCATTAGACTGAACTGAATTGGAACATATTACTAGTAAGTGGGTGATACTTGTGGCACTCTACCAGAGGAGTAAGTCTGTGACGACAGCATCCGGGTAGCCACAATATTCATATTTCACACTGAAAGAATATTGGTTTAAGTCTTCAGACGTCAAGTAGTAATTCAATGTGGAGATGGATTTTCACAAAACGGAAAGAACTTGAATTCGGTCGCGCTCGTTTTCCAAGAGTAACTTATATTTATATGTTGTGATTCCATGGATACAAATTAAATTTGTTTAAAAAGGTTGTTGATAGGAGCATTATACCGATCTATATAATAAGAGCAGCGTGGTATTAAATTTTTACGGCAGGTAAGCTCCTTAATTATCAGTCATAATATATACCTTAGCCGTATTGACTTCAAAGATAGTTTTTTAGGTATTAGTTTTAAAAAAAATTATAGAGAATTATCGAACGAAAACAAGGAAGTAAGATATCAGTGACTTTTGCTACAGTCTTTGGTGTAAGGCAAGGATGTCTAATATTGCCACTAATCTCTATTATTGTCATTGATGCCATAGCTAGGCGTGCAACACACAAGAAACCACGAGTAATCACTTGGAATCCGTTGAACCCAACATTCAGACTTAAATCTTTGGACTATGCAGATGACAAATGCGAAGTGGCCCACCGACGTGTCGATATACAAAGAAAACAACGATCTCGCACATGAATCTTTCAAAGTTGGACTCGTTATAAATACCGCAAAACCTGAAGAAATGCGAATAAAGACATTGTCGAATAAACCTTTAGAACTCAACGGTTAAACGATTGAACATGTTTAGGAATTTCAATACCTATGTAGTATGGTAACATCCACCGGAGGTACACTGACGAATATAATGGCAAGAATAAAGAAAGGAATTGGTACATTTATTGCATTGAATAAGATATGGTCGTCAAAGTTACAGTATCAAAACTAGTCACAATATTCAAGTTCTGCGCTTTGTCAGTCCTTCTATATGGATGCAAAACGTGGTTCATCACTGAACGAGTACAGAAAAAATTACGCAGCTTTGTCAATAGCTGTCTTCTCAAAATCCTCAGCATTTTCTGGTCTAACCACATTTATAACGAGGACCTCTGGTCAAGGACAGATGTGAGTGACATTAACGTCGATATTCGAAGACGTAAATTTGCCTAGATAGCACACACTCTCCGCAAACCGGCAAATGACATTGCAAATCGGGCACTCCGATGTAATCCATAAGACAACAGACAAAGAGACTGTTTAAAAATGAATTGGAGAAGATTCATACTATGGTAAACAAAATTTACATTCGCACAGAGTTCACCAAAAACAACTACAGCCACAGCATGACACCGCACAAGGTTTAATAATAAAATAATGAAGATTTTTTGGATTCAAACACATATACACTTTCCACCTCAAAGAAATTTGGAATAATTTTCCATCACATCATACGAAGTTTAAATTAGCTTTGAAAAGATCCACTTCAGTAAGTCCCTGAATACGTCCCTAAACAAATTAGATATATATACTAATGTACTAGTAAACTAAGTTGTACTAGTAAAACTTATATATATAAATAATATTGCTAATTTAAAAATATTGATATCACCAAATATCCAAATAAAATATTGACATTGTGTTAGTTCTTCTTTCAATACGTGATTGAGAGCTTTAATGAAAAAATTTTAATGAAAATATTCACTGAAGAAAATCTGAGGGAACTAATTATAGAATTCCGATTAAGAAAAAACTTGAAGCCGTTTGGAATCATACTGGAGTGTAATTATAAAATAATTAATAATTTTACATGATATATATATTTAAGTCGTTTCTCTGAAAGAAAATTTCTGTTTTTGCAGTTTAAGAAGAAACTTTCATTAATGTAAAAGATATTAAAACAAGACACAAACTATAAGTTACATTAAAAAAATTTTATTCTACTTTTTATAGGTCAATGTGTTAAAATATATACAGAATGTGGAGTGAGTTTTTTTTTTATGGTGAATGCAATTATAAGTCCGGTCATAAATCCACAAAAATAATTAAGTTCTTAAGTTGATGATGAATATTTGGCAACACCTAGAATAACTAAAGTATATAAAGTAATAAAGTATGGCGAGACAAAAATTCACTTATTTAAAATTTAAATTTAAATCCTTAATTTTTTAAATTATGATTTTTTTATGTGATATTTCTTTCTATTAAAATGCATTCTTTGCCATATGACATACCCGTATAAAAGGTTTAATAAGAATAAATATTGCCGTTTAAATATTTTTACGACTACGATAGTTTTACGATTCACATAAAATATATTTTTAAAGCGGAGATTTTTTTCAATGTTTGATGAAAAAATAGCAAAAAAATTATTTTTTTCTGTAAACTGATATTTTTGTAATTTTTTTTGTACGGATAATGATAGTTTGTTTACTTGGAAATGGAAATGGAACCGTAACTGTTGGCAACATGACTCCACAACAAACAAAAATGTAATGTATTTAAGTAAGTGCATTGGATAAATTTTACTCCATTTTTCGTCGAATTGCTGAATATTTATTTCTCGATTTCGAAATACTTCATTACTCATCATTTGATGGCAGGTGCTGACGAAATTGTGTGCAATGGTCGGACAATAGTATTACCATCATTAGAAGTTGTGAAAACAAGTGCGTAGAAACTCAATAATTTGTAGAATTCAGTATTTAATATTAAATATTAAAAAATTTTTAAATATTTTAGTACCAAAGATGTCAGCGGGCTCTAATATTGATTGGTTGTTGCATATTTATTTCGCCCGTAAGGATTTTATGCGATGTAAGATGCTTATCGACCAGGAGTTATACAAACATCTGAATCCGGAATACTTGTATTTTGTGAAGGTGAATCCATATATTTTCTTTAACTAATTAAGAAATTTATTTAATTTTCCAACAAATTAAAGTGTAAGTCAAACGTGAAGCTGAAATCGTTTTAATTTCAATCTCAGTAAATTTCAATTTGATAACAGAACTTGCTCCTTAAAGGGAATTAAACAAAACAGATTTGAAGTTAAGCCTTTTTCCTTTCAATCGAATTTAACTTAAAATAGAAATAAACTTTTATTTTTGTGCTTCCATCCTTTTACTAAATGCGGCGCAGGGTTTAATTGACCGTGAAGAGGGCAACCATATTGAAGCCATGCACAATCTTCAGAAGGCTATCGAACTGAATTCAAGAAATGTGGAAACGTACAAAGAAATCGGCAAGACACTGTGAGTATTTTTTAAATGTATCGACATTTGTGCACTGCCACACATAATTTTATTTATCGCACTCAAAAAGGACATTTTTAATAGTGTTCTCAGATTTGAGGGTCTCTTAATGTGATTTATACTTTAAAAGGTTAGACTTTTAAATGGTATTGTAAAATATAAGAGGCAATGTCCTTTTTAAATGGTATTTATCAATTTGACAACAATTTGTTATTAACGGTTGCAGACACACAGATGGTTTTTATAAAACTTTGTGTAATAGTTGTAAATTATCAATCAGAGTTTCTTCTCTGATCGCTCTTTTCAAATGACATATCATTAGAAGGTAAAGGTTAATAGAGGCTTGTAATTTGAACCCCATTAATATTAATGGTTGTTGACACACAAACATTACGGATTTATGTACCAGCTCGTACGTTATTATTAGTCGAAATTTGTTCGGCGATCGTAAACAATGAATCGGCGATTTCAGATAGCAACTCACTGGAAATTATAGCAGTTTGTAATTTAGAGATAGTTAATTATTAACACATAACCAATTGAGTTGTTATTTAATAGTTCGTATATAATACACAATTGGAATTAGCTCTCCGATCCATACTTTTCAGTGTCATTTCATTGGAAAGTGTTAATATTTGTGCGCAATCAAACATTTTTATCTGCATAGTTTAGTACAAATGATAAGTGATTTAAATTGATCTACAAGTGTAAGTAATACTTGGATTTGCTTAATCAAAAACCTTTTGCATTAATACCTTCCTTTAGATCATATATATATTTTTGCTTTTATACTATATAATTTTTATTTTTTGTTAAACTCTTGTAATTTAGATATCTTCGATAAAAGTCTATGTAATAAATGAAACTTTCGTTAGCCAAATTTAATTTTGATAGTAATTCTTCTAATCGTAATTTGAAGTCACATCTGCAACACATATTCGACCTTCATGTGTATAATAAAATCTCCATAATATTTAAAATGTAGATCCAAGTTTACTAATAAATTGTTAATTAATAATATAAAATTATCCATTATAAATTTTACTTGAAGCTCTTAATATACAAAAATGGGCACTTTTCCGATTTCCATAGTGCTGCGGTTTGAAAATCGTTGCTGTGAATTTTTATATTTCAAGCAATATATTTTAATATACTTTGTATTTATATAGTAAATTTTTTCAATTTATGAAGAATTTTATATAAAAACTTACAACTACTTGCTTCAGTGATCAATACAAAAATTAGATACACTAGTTGCTACTAGATGGGGTTTGTAGTTTTTTAGTTAGTAAAAATAATGTGAAAAGTATTCACCTTTGAACCTCGATATATCGAAAACATTGCGATATTGATATATAGCGTATTGAAAAAGTTGCTTACAACATTGAAACGTATAGTACATCAATCGTGTGTTGCCAGTTATAATATATATGTATATATTTTAATTTCGGGGCATTAACATTATTTGAATTATTTAATATACAATATGCATATTATGTAAGTTTGTATATTATATATAATAATTTAACACTAAAACCCACCAATTTAATATTAAAAATATATATCCATAGATTAAAGGTATTCAGAAATAAAAAAGTATAAAGTATGAAGAGAGAGGTGGTAGTTCTTATTTCTTTTAATGTCTATGTGGCATACTTATTATATATATTAAGGACATGGCCGGCTTCGTCAGAATAGAGGTACCAAAATTCTACGTTTAGTGAATGCTTTTAAACTTCATTGTCACTGATGTCTAAGTATCTCTAGTTTACGTTTTTCTGTATGATATGTTTTTTCGATTGATTTGCAAACTTTGAAATTTCCAAAATTATATACAATCAGAATTAGATAGATAGATTCTACCAACCGATTACAGAATTTCACTTACAGAGACCTCGCTAAAATTTTGATACAATTATCTTTTTAATTGTAATAATATATGTATATTATATTATACATAATTAATAATTGAATTTGAATAATTGAATATATAATCTGTTCTAATTATATATATAATTGCTCATACATTATTCCACTATAAAAAATAAAATACATTAAAAGAGTACAATATAATAGCAACTAGAATCTTGATGCTAAACCAAATAGGAGATTTTTTGCACTGCACACATTTAACCATTTATCAACACGTATCGACACATCACTACATTATCGGCACAACTTAGTATTTCCCTCATTTAGAACGCAACTTAGCCTAACTCGGACACGACCTTAATATGTTCTAAAAATACTTTAATTTATCTAAGGCCGTGTGCGAGTTTGGGTAATTTAGTGATAAATTGAGGAAAATAGTAAATTATTTCGGTATGGCAGCAAATGTTGGTATTTACCAGAATTTCGAGTAGGGTAAATTAGATAAAAATTAGGTAAATTAGGTATTGCCAATGTGAAAATTTTAAAAGATGTTTAATAAATAAATAAATAAATTCGAAAACTTTAACCAAAAATAATAAATAAGTGCAATAAAATAAATATTTAAATAATAATAAATAAATATTTACATAAGATCAGTGCAAAAAATTCCTAAGAAATTTCAATATACTTTACCTCCATTTACGCGAACTCACACACATCCTAAATATATAAAAAAATATAATTAATTAAACTATAATTAAACTATAAACTATAAATGCGTTTTTAATACTTAGTATACCCATAAACGGTTTTAAGTTAAACTAAAAATTGAAAATTGGGAACTCCCCGAGTCGGCTGTTATGCTTGTTCATGTTATTAAAGACATAAATGTCTACTTTATTATAATTTACTTTTGAATAATATATTCAGGTAAGCTTTGTTCGCTTGACGTACAATACACAGCAGATTTTCTCCATATCTCTGTTATATGAAAGAGACTTCACAAAATTGAAGTAACGACGTCCACGGGTATTGTAGCACCTGAAAACAATAACCTTTATCTTCTTATTCTGATCCTATCAACTTATTTTTAAAATTGTTAATTTAAAAGTATTCTGCAAAATAAGCGTATTCATTTATAATACAAAAATAAATATTTTAAATTTTAATTTAATTTAAACTATATTCCAACAATTCTGTACATTTAATTCTCCATTATTCGCAAATTTCCATTGAAATATTTTTCGATAAAAATTCATTTATGGATTTTTATCTGTGGCGTGAATTTATAATTAAATTTGTATTAACTTTTCCATAAAAGTGAAATAAGTGAGAGAGAAATGCTTGAAAGTTATCACTAAACTCAACGTTTTGTGTATTCTTTTATTCACTTTATTAAGGCCACGCTTTAATTTTGCTTCATTTTTTTAATTTTTTGTTCATTTTCTGCGCATATTTTTCAATTACAGGTTCATTATGGGACGCTTTAATCAGGCTCTTAATGTGTTTCGTGAGGCCGAAGAACTTTCACCCCGGCCAGATCACGAGATTTACCATTATATTGGTAGTTTGCTGCATCGTTCATCGTCAGCAAGTAATCAGTTGGAAGTGGCACGTCAAGAGGCTGCCGAAGCGAAGATGTACTTTCAGAAAGCTGTGCAGTGCGGAAAAAAACTGGAAAGTTTTCAAAGGCTTGCAGAAATTTATCGCAAAGAGAAGGAATACGGCAAAGCAATTGAAGTGCTTGAGAATTGCCTTTTGTAAGTTTATGACTTATGGCAACTTTAGTTTTTCTCTGGTATGTAGTAGTGGTCGCAATTATGTTGATGGTGATGACTAGAATGACGATTATTATTGTGGGGATGGAAGTAGTTCTTTTGATTAGCGTTGTGCATTATAATTTATGAATGAATAAATGACTCTAATGACACAAACGCAAATGAATAAGATTAAATTGACAACTGGAGTATTCCCATCGTCAACTAAATTATCAAAAAAAATTCTTTAGAGAATTTATTAAGATTTTAAGTTTACTGCAAATACACTCATTTAATGTAATGAAAATTATTCTTCAGTAAAATTATTTTGTAGAATTGCACCGGAAAATACTGCAGTTTTAACAGAAATTGGTGTGCTTTATTTAAAAGTAAATGAAACCCAAAAAGCTTTTGATAGACTGCTTGAGGTTATTAATATCGATGGTAAATGTTCAAAGGGCTTACTGGCATTTGGTGCTATATTACAAGTGAGTTTATATATATTTTGAATTAAATTAAATTGCAGTTAAGAATTTTTAATTTAATGAATTTATTTTTATTAAATTTATTCTTTAACATAGTACATAGTATGGAAATTTTGAATTATTATTATAGTATGACAAAACCATGAAAATTTATTAATAAATAGTAGTATTTGAGTATATAGTTGTATCACCACTATACAATTTAAATGCTTTTTATATTGCAAATAGTACATTCCCATATTCCTATACTCTACTTCCTTCTACTACTTCTACTTTCCAATATTCTAGGTTCCTTTAAGTAGATTGGTTTTATAGGGTGCATATTTCAAAATCGCTTTAATTCTAATAAATCAATATGATTGTTCTATAATACTTATATACTTATATAATACTTATATTTTTTTCGATATTCGTATTGTTTGGAGTTCTCTTAATGTTTTGAACTTAAATGTTGTACATTTATTCGGTATATATTAAAACCATGTCATCTTTATATTTGTTTAAGCTAGTCAATGGAAGTTGGCAAAGCGCTTTTGTCGAAATACGTATATTACTATAATACATTAAATATTATTCCTCGTGAAGACTTTTTGATGCCTTTCTGTTAATGGATGCTCGTGCATGATAGATCCCCTTTCAGACTCGCTGAGTCTACGGGTATGGATTTCATTTTAAGCATTATATAATGAATAGGTAAAATAAATGCTTTGGAGGAGACAATAACACAATAGTATACAATGTTCAAGGTAACAATTAATGGACATCATTAAAATTTTATTAGCAGATTTTGTATGAAACATAAAATTTATTGCTGCATATTTTCAGAATTAACTCCGATAGTGTGAACATACTGCAATACAATAATGTACATTCGAAACACATACATACTACTTAACTGTATTTCATATAACTTTTATTTGACTTAATATAATTTCATTCTCAATGCGTTGCTCAAGAAACAACAAACATTAATTTGTGATTGAAAGCAAAAGTATGGATATATTTTCGAGTGCATAGGTAGGACCTACTACTCCTTGCATTATATATTAGTATGATTTTGAGTATGATTTTTATGATTTTCATTATTAATTCATGTTCTCTCTCGCTCTAATTTCACTTCTGAGTATACTTATGAGCACCCGTTTACTAAAAAATTGTGAGGTTTGGTAAACCGTTTTTTAAGAACTCGTATAATGTTTCATACATAGCTGATGTATGTTAATATAATTCGACCTCAAATTTTTTTGGAACAATAAAGGGAAGTGTTGTCACTGAAACTCTCCTCTGTGAAAATAGTTTATAAGTACATTTTCCTTTTTCGGAATCGAAATAGATTCTTGGAAATAGTAGCTAAATTTCTACTGCTTCGTTATAATTATAATTATAAAATAATAACAACCTTAAAATTTTGTCTTAAAAAAAGTTGTAGGACTATGATTAAAACGATTATCTGCCGGAATTAGATTTATTATTGGTTTTTATTGGTTACTAAATACTTCTTTTCGTAAAGATATAATATAACAGTCTAGTAAGCATTAGTCATTTTTCCAGAAAATTGCATACATATACATTGTGATATATATATAAGTATTTATGTATACAGCTCAACTTATTGAATGCTTATAATTACTTATATTACTTGTTACGTGTTTCTTACTATGTATATTTGATGAGTATAAGGCCTCTGCCATTAATCCTACAAATCAATTATTCAAATAAGTTATTAATTGATTCTTATTCTAAGAAAACAGTATACTATGATATACTACTAATTACAATACAATACAATTATATACTTTGAAAAAAGGAATTTGTGTGCATAAATTTTATTTTCTGAAAAATTTTACGACAAATGTTTATAGTCTCGAAATGATGTCGATGGTGCCTTATCCAAATACAGAGAAGTCGCTATTACAGAACCCGATAATGCTGAGCTGTGGAACAACATAGGACTTTGTTTCTTCAAGAAACAAAAATATATTCTAGTAAGTATTCTATTTAATTTAATACTTATAACATTTATATATAAGTATATGGGGAATTTATACATATATGGCGTTAAAAATTTTAACATGTATTGAAAATTTACAGGCCATTTCCTCATTAAGAAAATCCATTTGGCTCTCACCAATAAACTATAACGCGCTGTACAACTTGAGTTTAATATATATTGCAGGTAATTGAGAACACATTAACATTAACGTTAACATTAAATATTCAGTAAAATATTATTAAAGTGATGATTTTGTAAAATTCTAATGCTTTTCGAAAATGGACCCACAAGCAAAAGTGCCCAGAATATGTTCTGGAAATGCTTTTCTCATGACATGACATTAATATGTAGACTTATTAATGTCGACATGTGCGTTCATTTTGGCTGAATTGTACATTTGCGATTATTGGTTTTTAGATCAACCAAAAACCAACATAAATTTCATGGAATAGCCACAAAAAAAAAAACGAAATGTATTTCAATATCTGACATAAAGCGATTACGGTTGACATTTTATTTTCATTCATTATTATGTATATGTTTTGCTGGTATAATTTGAATATGTGGATATGCAACAGTTTCTGTTTAAATCTATAAGAAATATTAAAAAAGAAAATTAATATAGAAAATGTTAAATATATATATTATACATGTATTATATATTCTCTGTACAAGAACTTAACTACAATTATTAAATAAAATTTATGTCCACCACAACAATTATACATTTACAATAATATATCATGTATTGTACAATCGCTTAATGAGAAAAATTAAAGTATAATTATTTCATGAACAGAACGTATGATATTACATTGTAATAATAGTAGTCATGGACGTAACCAAGGGCAAATGCGGCGAAGGCATCCTTTAAAGTGTGGCCGAAGCAATATTTCATAATGAAAATGAGCACAGAGCGTAACGCTTTCCTGATTGTAATAGACCGATGGTAAATCAATAAGGGTGTGTATGTGCAGGCCGTGTTGTTCAAAAAATAAAAGTAGCTTTCCGATTTTAATACAATGACCCTCAAAACTTAAATGATTATTTCATTGTAATAACTTTTATATCTACTCGGCAGATTTAAATTTATTGTTAAAATTTTTGCAATTATAAAAATTGTAATTGTGCATTGTGGCCAACCTCTTCAGTCCACTATGACCACAGTACTGTTAGCTGATTTTTGAATTTTAATTTTACAGTACAATTTTGTTTATATAAAAATATTAATTACTTCAATTTAAATTTGTATATCGTATATCCCAATAACTTAGGTATAGCTTATCGCCATCAGCTTTCCAATTTCGAAGTTTTCTATCATAATAAACGTGTCAGTGACACGTAACCTTTACGAAGCTAATTAGGGTATAGCTTATCGCCATCTGCTTTCCAATTAACAATTTTTTTATCATAATGATGAGGTTATGTACGTAACCTTTATTAAGCTGATTATTTGATTATTTATTATATATCGGACAATATACATTTATATTTTAACTGATATAATTAAATGTCATATAACTTTATAATGTATTTTGTAATTAATTTTAATTTTCATTTAAAATATAAAAAAGTTTAATTTTGTTCTGAGTATGCAAATGGTACTTCTGTTACAACTGGATATTTTTCTTTTAATTGAAGGTTGCAAAGTTATGAGTTAATATGGTGATAAGTCGGTAATATGGCCTAAAGAAAGATTTTAACTTTCATTGAGTTTGAAAAAATTCAAAATTGTTTTCTTATTTATTATTACTGATTAAAATATTTCAAATATTTCAACTTTGGCAAGTTTATAGTTTAGTTTACAATATCTATCTCTAGAAAGATTAGGATATTTCATCTTGAAGGTGTGGAACGCTTCATATATACATTCTATCTTCTATATTGTTGTTGTGTTTTGAGTTAGCGCACTTTTACTCTTTTGTGGCTAGGGGGCTTATCCCTGCCCCACACTAAGAATGTAAGAATGTTTTCTTCTGTCAAGTAAGCTTTTATTCTAAGCTTACTTGGCATAGCATTCATGCGCCAGTTTTATCAAAATGCTTGTTTAATACACCTATTGAGATCTGAAATTCTTAAAGAGACATAAATATTTTTCCGGCAATTAAGTATGTCTTTATGATTTTGGCTACTCTACTAATAACAAATCTAGCTACTCTACCAATATGTATCATGAAAAATAAAAAATTTTGATTCACCGGGATATTGCAATCAGTTCAAAAAGTCATTGACCTTTTATCGAACAAAAATGTAGCAGATTTCTTTAGCAATTTATCGTAAACTCACCTCATCTGCGGTTATGGTTAGTTAGTCATATATAGTAATATAATATATATATATATAAAATATAGTAGCCATATGGTTAGTAATATATGGTATATAATATTTATAATGTCATTTAGTATATTGTATTATAGATGGATACGGGACTTCAACCCAGAGATATTTTTTACAGTTCAATTGATAAAAAATATGTCGGTTGGTTCCCGTTATCTCATTCTATTCAATATTTTATAATTAATCGATTTGCAGTTGCTACTATTTGAAGTATATGCATTATATTTATTCTCTTAGTAAAATAGTGCGTTGCATTTTTGTATAACGTCAGATGATTTAATTTAATGACACTTGGTGAAAAAAATTTATTTAAAGCATAATTTTAATTAATTATAATGTATACATTTACAAACAATATAAAAAAATATATTAACAGATACCGAACTGTATAGTGTTGAACTGAAGAAATCCGGTATATATTTTACCATTTGGTTTCGTTTTTGGCTTCTAAAAAAATCTATTATTCAGTTTACGGTTTAGCTCAAGCTCGAAGTCATGAATAAAGCATGACTATAGTAGTTTTTTTCTTCTCCCAGCCGATCAATGTGACCCCGTACCCCGGCTTTGAGATAAGTAACTTAATGTTGATCTTATTACTAACTTGACGTATTTTGTATATGAATGATAATGATGTAACTCTGTTTTGAATCACAATAAAAATTTTTTATTATTAAATAAAATAAATAATTTATTTAACTATATATTACGTGAATAATTTAGTTAAAGGTTTACTTTAATAATATACGAATATTTTAGTGTAACATTTACAATATTTTCTAAGCGATTATTTTTATTTATTTAATTATATATAGATATTATTAAAAAAACATAAACATATATGTATAAACTTTTTAGGGGATAGGACAAAACATAGTAAAGTGTAATTTAATTACATATTAGGGTTCTTCATTTATTAAAAGATTGTAGTTATAAGTATTATGTGGACAAATAATAATATAAAAACTTCAAAGTTGCCATACATTTTTGTAGAAAAAGTGCGGTTTTATTATTGAAAAAGTAGTCTTAATAATCTTATCTATCAATTAAAAACAAAACACATAAGTTATGTGTAAAAAGATAAAACATATCATTCTGTGTTTGTATCTGCATCTGTGTCAGAAGTTTGCAGTAATGGCAGTGCAATCTGCTTTTTATTTTAAAATTGTTATGAATACTTTAATGGTTTTTATTTTGTATATTACATGCAATAACATATTCGAAAAATTAATATTTCAGTTATTCTTAAAACAGTTTACGATATATGCAGTGATTGCAAAGTGTATTTTTATTATTAGAAATGTTGGTTGGTTGGTTGCACTGGAAGGGCATTGGATAACTTCCACGTACCTTAATTAGCGATTTTTCGAACCCTAGTATAGATGAGTAGAGACTAAATCCATCCCGCCGAATTTAGATAACTTAATAGATCTTTCGTCATCACCGATGAACAGTCTGATAAACTATCAAAGGAGTATTTTCCTAAGAACCTATATCTTCTGGATGCTAAAAACGGACATTTACAGACAAAATGTATTATGGTTTCTGTTTCCTGCGGGTTTCCACAACTTCTGCAGTTAGGATTATTGGGGATGCGCAGTTTCTCTGCGTGGGTTCCTATACACCAATGACCAGAGAGAGCTGCAATAAGCCTTACCGTCTTCACGTGGTCTCATTTGATCAGTTTCGAGGATCTATTTTTATTATAAATGAGCCATGTTAACGTGGAAATTACACATGACTTAAGTGCTTTCCATCTGTTATTGGCAAGTTGCAGAAAGTAGAGGAAGGCACTTCTCTTAATGGTGTCTAGGGTAATATAAACCGGTACCGCCAGTAACACATCCTTCGATGTTCCTATGTTCTGGAACCCAGATGAGGGTGATATCAGTCAAGCGATTTAACTCGTCAAGTGCTTCTCTACATTCCTTTATTATCTTTGATTTTGTTATGAAAGATTCATGGGCTTTTATTGCTGACTGGCTGTCAATGAAAATGGCAGCCAGTCAATGTGACTTGGAATTTGCCGACAGGGTTCTCTAATTACCTAATGTTACAGTATATAATTTTAGTACAAGATGTGTCTTCATTTAAAATTTACACTTCACGTTTAAATTTTGACAGCACAGAACAGTTCTAGAAATACATTTCAAAATATTATTAAATGCATTTTTTGATTGACAAATACTTTTGGTTCTTTTTTGGTCTCTTGGGGAACTCAAATTGTAAAAAGTGACTTATAAATATTTTATATTTATAAATTAAAGTTTCAGAAATAAAAAACGCAACATAATGAATAAGGTTTAAAGGTAATATAATTCGTATTTATGCATTTTGAAATAAACAAAAACTTTATTATAAAAACATTTTACTAATATTTGCAACATACACATTTGAAATATTTGCACACATTTTTTCAATAAATCGTTATACTTAAATCCTAGAACTCTTTAAAGAATTCGTCCTTTTGCAGCTCAGCAGTATTCGAGCGCATTTCATACACTTGCTGCCGCCATAAACTTGCGCAAGGATAGTCCTGAATGTTATATGCTACTCGGAAGTAAGTGTAAATGCTCGTTTTACGTACTTCAACGGAAGCCATTTATTATCTTTTTTCATTTCTTCCTTTTACATTCGCTTCGGTTCTTCTTTTTGCCAGACATTCCTCTTTTAATTAAACTGATTTAAAGGACAGAGAATATCTGCAGTTCTATAAGATTTTTTTGTTTAGTACAAAGTAATTGTTTGATATATTTTTACAGTTTGTTTGCGGAAATTAGAAGATTCGGAAAATGCATTTACTGCGTTCGAGCGGTCAAGTGGGATTGTGTCCAAGAAAGCCAATGCACGCAACCCACTGATTTATTTAAATTTCGCACTATTTTGTTATGAAACAGGACGAATTGCTATGGCATCCGAGCAGTACAATCTCTTCCTCTCCACATCGCAGGATTTACTTTTACCAACTGAAGTAAGTTTGGAACAATTAAGAAAATTTCAGTGGATTTATTCTGTTGGTCAATGGAAATAAATTGATTTCATTAGTTTTTTAATATACACACATGAATAATTAGTTATGGTGTTTCACAAAATGTTTACATTGACATAAATTTATTATTAAAGTAGATATTTTATTTCATAGATATTTATTGCACTACGTTAAGTTTTTGGTAGTTATTTTTTTTCAAAAAAAAATATATATTTATTGTAAATTCTATATTTTAAATCAATATATCATTATGCACTTAAATAGATTTTTAAAATATTTTTATATTTTTAATTCGGAAATGTATTCGCACATGTAATTGAAATAAAAAAAATTAATTTAAAATTTGTATCTGGTCATTTATTTTTGTTAAAAATTGTAATTTCTGTTTAAAATATTTTTTAAAGTAATATAGTTTTTTGAACGGTTTTTATATGCGCATATATGAGCTTAAAAAAACCAGAATAATAGAAGGAAGACGTGGGTGAAGATATCATCTTTAATGACAAAACAAAAATTTTACTGATCCTTTTCCAAATAATAGCTACCAATCTTTTAGTCTTATTAAAAGATTTATTTAGTCTTTATTAAAAAAAATCAAATATCTAGATGGCGTAGTACTGACTATGTTACTGGCACTCTTAATGTTATTTAAGATTACAATATTTTTGTAGTAAATTTTTAAACAGCAGAGGGAACGACAATAAAGATCGCATAAATCCATATCGATTTAATCTAATTATTAATTTTATGATTATTCGATAATGAAACATTTTTCCTTTATACATTGAAATTCTTTATTTTTTTAAAATCTATTTATTAGTTATTAGTGAAATGAATTACCTATATTCTTAAAACACATGACACTTATTCCCCGAAATAAATAAAATAAATAGGTTTCTTAGATTTACATTCGTGCTACATTATTTTTTTACTGATACTTATTCCCCGAAATAAATAAAATAAATAGGTTTCTTAAATTTACATTCGTTTTTCATTTTCTTCTTACCATCTATAGAATATTTATTCTTATTTTATATTTTCTAGATTTTCATTAAAATAGTTTAAGAATAAAATTAAAATAAAAGGTTAATAACTGATTGCTTGTTTATATTACTCATATTGTAATTAGGTAATGATCAAAACAAAACTTTCAAATGGAACTATCATATAAAAATTTGTTGACCTTCATGCCAAATTTTTAATATTGTATATGTACATGTGATGATTTGAATTAGGTGCGAAGAACTTAAGCGATTATTTATGGGTGCATATGAAGCAGTGCCCTCGCTCCCCATTAAGTGTATACAAAATAATATCTCATAATAAATATTAGACTTAGGGGAGCAATGTAGTAAAGATCTCTTAAATGTAATTGATCGTTGAAGCAAATATTGGCATGTTCTATATCGATGTCCCAGATAGTAATGTTTAGCTATTGAAAACACATCTTAGGTTATTGACTTAGGTTAATTGATTGATTATTGATTATTTCAATGCAATAACCTTTCCTTTTTTTTTCCAAAATATTTTTGTATTAAAAAAACGTCCTTGAGTCAAATAGCCCGCACTTCTTTCATTTCCTAGGTACGTCCATGAGATTATGGAAGATTTGAAATTGTCACGTAAATACTGTGAGAACAGTTAATTAATATGTTAATGTGTTCTTTTAGAATTCTATTTTTAAGTAGTAGATAGAAACTTTTAGTTATTTGTTTGTTTATTTTTATGACTACTTTTCTACAAAATAATATTTATTCAATTCTTAATATTAAAAAAATAGCTGCAAATGTTATTTCAAATCGAAATATTTTGAATTAAGAATTTTATTTTTAATTTTTCCATTTTCTTTGATACTCACTAACTTCAATATTTGTACTATAATTTAATAATATATTTTGTTAATTATAAACTATAATTTACTTAATTTATTTAAATATTTCAGTACAAGTTTCAAGCAACTAAGCTGAAATCACTTTTAAAAATTCCAAATAATTTTATATTTGCTCCTGTTGATGAAGAGAACCCATCACCACCCACGCATATCGTGACCACGCAACATAACAGTGGCAGCAACAACAACCGTTTAGCGAATAAACTTCATAATGAGGATTTAGTGTTTAGCGAGGCACAATCAGAATTCCCATTGGAAGTTAATACGGTTGTTAATTCAACTGGTGGTGTGCCAGACGAAAAAGTGGACGCGTAATATTTTTCAAAAGCTGTCAGTGTACGTGACTGAACAAGGAACTCAGCAGGCAATAAAATACTCTATTAGATTGTGATTGATATGACCAAAAGAAATAATTATAAAATTTAATAAAGAATGAAAAATTATTTTGTTTAAAAAATTTTTTACTACTCTCAAACACTAAACTAATTTAAAATTTTCTAATAAAGTATTACCTAATATGTAATCCTAATACGGCAATATTATTTTAGCAACATATGTAAAATGGAACTATCATCTAAGGCATCATTTGTTTAGTTTAAAAATTGCCGTTAGTCATACATACCCGAGTTTGAATCCTGGTACTTGCAGTCTCAACAAATAATTATTTATAATTAATTAAACACAAGAATTATTTCCAAGACCACTGATGATGGGTATTTGGCAATACTATAAACAGGTGTATGGTCAGCCAAAAAGTCAATTAATTAAAATAATATAAAAAACAAAATTTTTGTTGTTGTAGTTCACTACTGTTCGAAAAAAACTCTTTTAAAAAGTTAAAGTGATAACAATATTGGTTGAAGGTTTATGAAAGGGGAACCAAAGTAGATTATAGCATGACACCAAGATCATGACACCAATCAAGATCCGACTTCGACTTATTGCGCGTAAACATGTCCAAACAGCTCTTTGAATCATCGATTCGTTGTTGTTTTTGCTCCGGTGTTTGGAAAACACCTTTTTCATACCCAAATGTTAGTGTATTATGGTGTGTACACTGCCTGCTGATATCTGTAGAATGTCAGCAATCTCCCTCACTTTCACTTTACGGTCGGACATAATGATTTTCAGTGTTTTTTCAACGTTTTCCGGAATAACAGCGTCATTTGGCCGTCCAGTAGATGGAATGTCATCGGTGTCTGTACAATTCGGCATACCAATAAGAAATGCTTCTTTTTGATGGAGCAGAGTCCGAATAATGTTTTTCAAGCCATTCCTGGCATTGAACAGTATTTTTTTTCATTAAAAAACAATGATAAATCAGCACACGGAATTGCTTTGAATTCATTTTTTTTGAAAACTCAAAAGTAGCGTCACTTAAAGCACTGTAACTTGTAAACAAATGGTCGGATTAACATATGATTTTGACAGTAAGCCTAAAAAGGTTGCCACTTTCGAAAAAAAATATTTATTTAGTATTAGTGCCGCCATCTATGTGTCATTCACACACATTATTGAACGAAGTGTTATTTAGCAAAATATATTTTGCAGATGTAAATATTTTCCGGTAATTGCGACGTTATGTTTATTTAGTAATGTTGTATACAGTTTTCTCTATTTTTGATGTAAATATTTTTGACGTGTTCAGTAACAACATATATGTACCACATGTATTTAGTTTTCATCCAGGTTTCCTCAAAAACATATGGAACGTTTTTGCTATAACCATTCTAATAGACTCACAAAAATGTTTAACTGACTACATTATTGCTTAAAGAATATTAAAGGCAGCACCCAACTCGAGTATAGCTTTTTCATGCAATATTTCCTAAATGAGATTAAGTAGTGGTTTCAACATCATCAAAATCTCTAAATTTTATGTGATTATTTTTTAACACCAATTGTTGGTTTCGTCAGTGGCTGTAGTTTTTTTATCATCCAGGACGGTCGTTATTTAAGCTGCTACTACAATGTTTGAAATCAGCCATCCACGTTTGTACTATCGCATATAATGATAAGATTACATTGTAGAGCATTGCTCATAATATTGATAAAGTATTTTTGTTCTAAACTATTTGGTTTATGGTTAAAGGATATATCGGTATTGAGCGAAACAAAAAAGCAGATGAACTTGCAAAGCAATGATCAAGCCATAACTTCTGCAACCCAGAGCACAGAATACAACATGGGCTTCAACATGACTGCAGCCTATGTCGATTAGTGGATAACTTCACTTCATCTTAACAGATGGAGAGATATGAGCACTTGTACACAGATGCCAAAATCGTTGACGAGGGAAGCGATAAAAGTTGGCTGATCTAATTGATAACTAGTGAATTGATAACTTTAAGTATCACTTCAAAAAGTTAACTCTTATTGAGAAAGAGACTTGCAGACTATGACTAGACAGCGGTGCATATATTGTGCTAATGTCCAGCACTGGCAAACAGAAGAATGACTATCTATAGACACCATTGGGTTTGTGATGACTAAGCAGTCAACCACAAGCTAAATTAGCTGCTTGTAATAATAACAGATGTAGTTATGCGAAGGGAAGCCAGCTTAGCTTTAACTCAATAACGATATCCGATGATAAAGCAACTAAGTCGTTTCGTACTCAACTTCGGCTAATTCTCTACTTCAGTGGGGCGTCTTGTTGGACGGTGCGCTGTCCCAACGTCCCACAATATATATATTTTCTTTATGGTCGGACAAAAAACTATTCAAACACCCGTCATAGATGTGTTGTAATATACACAATTAATTGTTACCCTGGATAAATGCAATATTGGTTGAAAATAAAGTCAATATACTGTTTTAAATTATACATATATTTATTTATAATTATTATATTCAACTTTTTTTAACTATGAATAAATCACAAATAATTTAAGCTTTTTAAATATGCATCTGTTTCGATTTCACTTATTCAAATCGAAATTTTAAGATTATAGTTATACAACTTAGATAAATATTTACACATACAATTATCGTATATTTCAAACCTGTACTTATATATATCTTTTTATAATAAACGATTTAACAGCAAAACACAAATTCTAGGGGCTCAGTGTGAAAATGAGTTTCGCTGTTAAATTTTAATTAAGACTAAACTGCTTTAATTACGAGAAAATCGTTGTGTTTACGTTTAATTATTAAATTAACAGATTCAACGTCAATGCAATTAATGTCAAGCTTACTGCAGAAAGTTTTTATTATAACACAGTAGAGATTTATTGAAAATTTATTATTATTAAAAATCTTATTTATATATTATATGTATTTAATACTAAATAAACAAAATTTAACCTACATGAATAAATGGCACTTCGTTCAAAATCTGTTCAATAATTCTTAAGCCTTCTTACAGAAAGTCTTTATTTATATTAATTAGCCTAATTAAAAAAATTTTTTTTATTAAAAATTTTCTAAAAATTGTTTATAATATAATTAGTGAAATTAAAATACAAAAGTAATTCATTTCATTTCCTTATAAGGATGGAACAGCAGGAACAGGAACCTCAATATTTCCTTTTCCCTATGCGGCAAAGATTGTGTTCATATACTCATACCTGATTTAAATGAAAAATAAAAAAAAAACAATAAAAATAATTATAATGAAATAATAAATAAATATTGTTATCTTATGCATTTAGTTTTGATTCAATTGCCATGTTCAACATGTACAAAATTCTATATGTTAATTAGTTAATTTAATTTTCACTTGCATACTTTCACAAAGCCAAATTTATTAATTAATTTGGTAGTAACTTAATCATTATTAAGAATTTTAGCATATACGCGTATATATATTATATCAGCAGCGTTCAAATCAAACACACGTTGTAGTTACCCTTGTTAGACGTGTCATCTCGATACTGCCAAAATGCCTTTTAAAAAACAATGACTTGAATGTGGTGCGGAATTGTTTCGACATCAGTCCGTAAAGAACAAAGCCAATAGCAGCATTAATTAGTGCAAGTAGGTCCATCATTTCACCAAACGGTGGATAACATGCTGCAAAAAAGCACTTCTCCAGTATGCCGGAGAGCAGACCTAAAATCCCTTGGGGAAATTCAGTAATAAGAAAAAGTATGAGTACAGCCACTAAAAGCATTGTTGTGCGGTCGGTGCGGCGATCACATTTCGGAGGACTAAAATTATAGAGTTTTAATTATTTTATACTTAAATTTTTCAATGAGTTTAATTAATTATAAAAATGACTAATTTGTTCTTTAGAACAATTTTAAAATTTAAAAAAGTTAAATATAATATTTTTTAAAATAATATTCTACAGTCTATTGCAAATTGTGTAAACATGTATGACAGTTATAGTTACGTGAAAACTTTTATAAATAAAATTATATAAATTCCACAGATACATTCTTCACGAATTTCATGTAGACAAATTTAGTTTCAATTTCTAGAATTTCAATGAGAATTTGGTTGATGTTTTATGAATTTTGATGGAATTTTAATTTATATTTTTCTTTTAAATAAATTTATTTATTCGATGCTCATTCTTATACTGATAACAACAAACTATCAATAATTTTCCTTCTATTTGTTCAATTTTACAGAAAAACAATTACTTAACTTCATTATTAATGTATCAAGCGACTATATCCAGCTACTATAGTTTAATCATACATTGGGCGTAACACTGAAAGTGTTTATCTAGTCGAAATAGACAGTAGATACCTTTACTGCAGAAATCTATGTTTAAAAAATTCTGTTTACTCTACCTTACATATAAATGTTATATACTATATTACCTTCTATAGTAGTACTTCTCGTTTAATTTTCCTTATATAGTCATTTGACATAAGAGTATTTATAAAAAGCTTATCAACTTCCCATTAATAATATTAACTTGGTTGTACGCGATAGTATCAGTAAAATCCGGCGATATAATTATATATTGTCCAGATGCGCATATGAAATGTGAATAAGTTGCTTCTTATAAATATTTTATACATATGTATATGATATTAGAGTAAGAACAATGTGTGAAAAGTTTTTAATGATTTTAAATTTAGATTTAATTTATATTTATTTATTTAACATACCTATCTAAAATACAATGTTACTATAAGAAGCTATAGAAATTAGGGACATTAGGGAAAATGTCTGAACTTACAAAAATTTGAGTTACAAAATAGTTTAACGAACAGCCCTTTAAGCTGAAATACCGGATTATTTAACCTGTTCATTGTTATGTTAACTAAAAGTATTGATTTTTAATTACTAAAAGTATGAATTTGTATTTCAGTTTTTTTTGTAAATTTATTATTCCATATTGTTTTAATTTTAGTGGTGATAGTATTTTTTTTTTATATTTTTTCTCTCTTCTGATCACATGCAATACTGAAGTGAAGGTGTTTACTTATTAATTGATAAGAATTCTATTCATCTACAGTGCGATATTATGTATGTATGTTGTACTTTATTTTCTAGAAATTGTTTGTCAATACCGAATGTACTTTTTGAAGCGGAAAACTTTGAAGCGTAGACATATAAATCTTAGCTGATACTGATTTCAGTTTTATTAAAGTTACATATCGTTGTATGATAGAATGTCTTGAAGGTTAAAAGATTCGAACTCCAATAGTAAGAAGTTTTTTTAATATTTTTTAAATTTAACCAGTGTAATTTTTAAGCGGTTTAACTGAACAAAACCTATCACCCCAATTGTTGTAGAGTGATTCCATTTTTGAGAACTGCGTAAATGATAAAAATCAGAAGAACTCACCGCGTGCTTCTCTCATTCAATTGAACTGCTTTGTTTGGATTGCTGTAGTCTTTGAGTTTCTGTTTTCGTTTAGAGGCTTCACATAGTACCCGAACCAATATGAAACTGATAACAGTCAGAATGCAGCATGGTAACAATTTTATTATAACAGAATGAATCCAGAAATTTATTCTGAAATAAAATGATTATTTAAAAAATTTTGAACAAATAATAAAAACAATTAATAATTATTTTTTTAAATATTTCTTATATAAAATAACAAATCAAAACAAATTAAAGTTTTCTTGATGACTTTTGTTTTTACAGGGTTATCCATTAAGTGGTTCTAAAAGTAAACACAAATTAAAGACACTGATAATTGATATTTTGATCAAGTTTTTTTTTGATATGTGGGTTGAACACCTAGAGCGAAGAGCTTCGTTCAAAAAAAATTAGTTTTAGTATGATTGTAGTAACCAGAATGGCGGGTTGTGTCTCATCTTCAAAAAATTACGGGCCCACCACACCTTATGGTTGCAATGACCTTTCCATAGTTAAAAGTAGACTTGTGGATTGTCGTACCACCATATGCGACAATTTTCTATATTACCAGATCCACCAAGCAAAAAAAACGTTGACGGGTTGTGATGCTATCACATCTTTTCATAGTTACTTATGAATTTTTTCTGCATCAGATGTGACAGTTTGTTTTACAATTTTTATACCTTAATTGATTGTTAGACGATCCCATATTGTAAAATAACAAAACTTGAGCTAAATATATAATACCATTACCAATAGTTCGATTTGATTTATTTCATAAGCCAGGTTGTCAATATAGGACCACGAAATGGATAATTCTATATATGAGCTAATCGTAAAATTTACCTGTACAATCGAGTTTCCTTATCAGCATCTACATGATATAAAGGGTCAACGCTATCTTCTACGTATCGTTCCTGAACTTTGAATACAAAAAATGTTGGGAAGCAGACAATAGGTGAAATTATAAATGAAAAAATAATAGCTTCGTTGCAATGAGATAGTAAAAATGTCGCACAGGATCCATGAGGATGTCTGAAAAAAAGAGAAGGAAACAATTTGCTATACAAAAACAAAAAGAAAAGAAAACTTTATTCAATAAAATTAAATCTGTCATTTGTATTTTAGTTGAATTCATTATAAAAACCAACAAAACGAATTGATATGGTGCAAACAGCCTTAGAGTTGATGGAAGGAAGTTTAACAACTGAAAACAGTTTAAATTCGGAAATAAAAAATGTGACAAGAGAAAGAAATCTATTAAAAGCATAATTTTTGCAATAGTAAATAAAATACTTTCATGCATTAATTTGTATCTATAATTTTATATTTATTAAATGAAAAATACTAGATTTCAACAAGATAAGTAATATGTTAGAAAAGCTATTTCTAATAAAAGAGCAAGCACTCTAATCTAAATACAATAATAAATGAATACCAAATATAATTAAAAGCTACTGAAAATATTATATATAAACGGATTAAGTCTAGCACCCGTTGAATAAAAGACTATTCAGTTCTCGAAATAGTTTAATAATTTTATTCAATAATGATTATACCAATTATCATTAACGACAGATTTAGCAAGCATTCAATTATAGAATATTACGTTCATTTACCTTATGGCCACATAGCGCCAAATGGCCAATGTAACGGTCAGACCAATTGAAATCGTGTGTAAAATTTGAGTAAAATGCATGTGAAAGAGTACGTACACGGCCCACGCATAACTGAAATCATGTTCACCTGTAAAAGAGTGTATTATTTATATTTTCCACATATTTGTGATTCAATGGAGTAGCACATTATTACTTACCTGGCTTCATATAAATATATTGATATGAGGCAAATGGTATGTATTCAATCATAACAAACATATCAGCGACGGCTAGCCATTTCAGTATTTTATTTATTGGAGCCTTAGCCATGTCCTTCTTTGTTAATACAATAATATTCAGTATATTTGCAATTGTGCCAAAAATGCATATCTGTAATACACAAAGTGATAATACATTTTCGTAATTATTTCGCTCAATATAGCTTCAACTATGACAATAGATTATCTTTATTTATTTCTTATTTTGCTGCTAATAATAAGCAACAAAAAATATTGACTACAAACTTAAGACGATATTAGTTTTGTATTCTCAAAAAAAAACAAAATAAGAACCGATAGCAAGGTTAAAAGTTTAGGTATAATATACAAGAACTTATATATTATTATTTAATTCAATCTATTTACCATTTAAGTTTATGTATTAGTAATTTTATATAGGTACGAATATTTTTTATAGGGCCTAGAAAGTTTATTTTGTGGGGAGTCATAATTTATACTATATATATAAAATATATATTATATATAAACTATATACTTTATATTTTAATAAATAATTTATACAAATGAAAAAATATGCATAAGAAAAGAAGTTTCGCTGAAGATGACTATCGAAGATAGTCGAAATATCGGAATAATATTTTAATAAAATATAATTTGTTTAAATGTAAATAATAAATCATAGTTTTTATTTTGTATTTAAATTGACCAATTGACTGCTGTGAAATTATGGAAAAATGTATTCTTCATAACAAAAACACTGACTGGAATAGTTACCGTCAACTAATTTCAATTGGTCTAAATACCGAAGTCAGGTTAAAAACTGAATCTGACGTAACTGAAGCAGTAGAGCATTTCAACTCTTGTGTCCAAATGTCTGCATGGGAATCAACTCCACCAATTTCTAAAAGTGTTAAGCAAGATTATCCATTTAACATTAGATACCTGATTAAAGAAAAGCGTAGGATGAGAAAACATTGACAACAGTCGAGATTCCCAGCGGATAAAACTCGCTTAAACAAACTGTGTAAACTTGTTAAAGCCCTTCTTTTAAAGTATAACAATAATCGCACGTCGCTATACCTTCAAAACCTAAGTGCTTCATGTGATACAAAATATTCCCTTTGGAAAGCCATAAAAAAGAACAACAGACCGATTGTCTATCAACCACCTATACGCAAAATCGACAACTCATGGGCAAAAAGCGATATTGAAAAAGCAGAAACATTTGCGTTACATTTGGATCAGGTCTTTAAATCAAATGATAACCAAAATATGCCTGATGTCATGAATCAAAGGATTAATTTTCTACAAGAGCCTTATCAATTGGAACTTCCAATTAAAAGATATACTATTAATGAAGTTAGAGATGTAATAACAAAGTTAAAAGTAAAAAAAGCTCCAGGATACGATTTAATCACAGGCATGGCCTTGCAGCAGCTCCCACCAAAAGGATTTGTATTTCTCACTCATCTATTTAACGCTGTGATAATAAGGGGGTTTATTCCGCCACAGTGGAAGATAGCGCAAATCTCCATGATACCGAAACCAGGGAAAAGCCCAGAAGACGTCAAATCATATCGGCCAATAAGTCTACTTCCGATCCTGTCAAAAGTTATGGAAATCCTGTTTCTAAAGCGCCTTACTCCGTTTATCCAACAAAACAGACTCATACCTGACAATCAATTCGGCTTTCGCCAAAAACATAGCACAATAGAACAAATTCATAGACTTGTCAGACATATCCATAGTGCGATAGATGGTAAAAAATATAGCACTGCGGCATTTTTAGATATTTCACAAGCTTTTGATCGAGTATGGCATGAGGGCCTCCTGTTCAAACTAAAACTGTATCTACCTCTAAATTTTTTCATATTTATAAAATCATACCTCTCGGCTAGGCACTTTTTCATTAAGCATGGAAACGAAACTACAGTACTTCATGATATAGAAGCAGGAGTACCTCAAGGTAGCATAATGGGACCAATGCTTTATCTTTTATTTACTGCGGATCTTCCCTTTACCGATGAGAGTGTTATCGGTACATTTGCAGACGACACAGCTATTTTATCAGTTGACAGTGACCCAATCCGTGCTTCCACCAAACTTCAAACCTGCCTTGATAATGTTGCTCTCTGGATGATAAACTGGCGTATTAAACCGAATGAATCAAAATCTGTCCAGGTAACATTCACTACAAAACGTTCTACGTGCCCGCCGGTCTTAATAAACAATACTCAATTACCACAAGCTGTAGAAACAAAATACTTGGGCATACATCTGGATAGTAAGCTAACCTGGAAATCGCACATATTCAAAAAGCGTAAAGCCTTGGGTCTTAAATTACGAAACTTATTTTGGTTCCTCAGCCGAAATTCCAAACTGTCACTTGACAATAAGCTGCTTATATACAAATCTGTACTTAAACCTATATGGAGTTATGGGGCCCAATTATGGGGTACTGCAGCAGACTCAAACCTGGCAATTATACAGCGCTTTCAATCTAAAACACTACGAATGATCACAAACGCACCTTGGTATATAACGAATGAACAGCTACATAAACAATTACATGTTCGAACAATCAAGGAAGAAATAGCAAGTATTTTAAAGAATTACGCTCAACGCTTATATATGCACCCAAACCCTCTGGTTACTCAACTGATGTCCCCTTCCAATACCTTTACAAGGCTGAGAAGAAAAACATCGCGAGACATTTTAAATATGTATATGTAGACAATACACTTTTATTTTAAATATATATGGATATGTCACTGGGCATAGTCCATACGTGCCTTTCTTTTTATATCGTAATAACCATTACTACGATTTAAATTTATATATATTACTTATTGTCATTCATTCTGACAGATTGTAATAAATAAATGGATTTAAAAAAAAAAAAAAAAAAAAAAAAAAAAAAAAAATTGACCAATTAGCCAATTAAAAAATATATAAAGAAGAAATAGCAATAAAAGAATGTAAATAAAAAAAATATAATTAAAAAAATATAAATAAAAGAAATATAAATTAAAAAAATATTAATAAACAATATAAATGGTTTTGCTTGAAAAGTTATGTGTTCAACTTAGAAGCCCTGTTTTCAAAGACGTTGTTTTTATGTGTTCTAGACATAAACTTTTTTTAAGAAAATGTAGTAATCCTATTGATGCTCCAACTTTTTTAGTGGATCCTAGAAGGGTGGCCAAAGTTTTTGGAAGAGAAGACACTTTGGTCACCCGAGCTGAACCCCATACACCAGGGTGACTGTTCTGTACAGGAGATTTTTTTACCCCGACTATAAAATAGGTAGGAACAAAAAATTGCCACATTCCAAATCTGTTTGACAGAACGAAGGCTGTCGGGTCCGCTAGTTTTACATATAAAAATGTAATTTCTGCGAAATAGGAATTTTTAAAATTCAGACAAATATTGCAGGGGATCGATTTCTCAACTGTGAAAAAAATTTAGTGTTCACGCATTTTTTTGTTTTCAGTGAAGAAATTTGTATTCACATTGAATAAAATCAGTTATTGAAAATAAATAAGTAAACAAAATGGCACACATTATACTAATTATAATGCTATTTTATAATAATTATATTAAAAATTTATATTTTATTTTTTTATAGCTTTTTTATCGGGGTCCTGTAACATAAGTTTCCAAATTTTGCTGTCGTTAGAAAATTCTATATAGATATTTGAGTACAAAGTTTTGCACCTTTTGCTTGCTTTTTCATATTTTTCCATTTTTAAAACCTATAAAAAATATTAATATATAGAAGCTCACAAATTAGAATTCTGACCGAATTTTGACCGAATTCCTCTTTCTGTTTTTTTTTAAGTTTTGTATAAATTACTTAGTTGATAAATGTTGTTGTTCGTACTTTGATTCAAAAAGAAATAAGGGGGTATTCTGAAAATGCTCTGTTTAATAAAACGCATTCAAAAATGCAAGTTCAAAACGGATCTGAATAGGAGTTTAATACCAATAATGATTCTTCAAATAACATTGAAGATGATGTTCCTAATCTCACACCAAACGTGTCTCATTCTGAAGCGATTGAAAGCGTCAATATCTTTAAAAATTGGTGCAAACAAAATTACCAATCTTTTAACTCTTCGTAACAATGACATTATAAAAAATTTTACTAAACCTAAAAATAAACAAAAACAATACTTAATATTTTATACAATAATGCTTAATAAGGATTGATTTCAATTGTAAAAAAAAGATTTTATATAGAGTGTTAATTTTTTGATCATTTTTTATAGAAATAAAAAAATTCAGAAATTAAAATTTTGCGCTGATCGAACTACCAGGAAAACCAAGTGGTTCTAATTTGCGAGTTTCTACTGTACAAATTTATATTTAATTTTGCCCAAAATTGCATTTTTTTTTTTAAACTCACGGTCAAATTTACGGTAAATAAAATTTGACGAATGTCTACACTTTTTGACAGAAAAAATTGCTATTCACAGTTGAGGAATAGCAAAATCAAAATCTAAGCAATTTTTGTGTACACCTCAGTTTGCATAGTTGAGGAATAGACCTCCTGGTCGAGTTATGGAAATCAAATTATCATATGGTAATTTTTAATAACCTGAGAATGACTGGCAATAGTAATCGAAATATTGATATTAAAAAAAAAAATTAATTGTACAAAAAAATTGCGTTTTTTTTAAACGAAAAATTTCTTTTAAATTTAGCAAATTTTGAATGAATCTTGTAAATATTTTTTGGCACTTTAAGTTTCTAGAACTAATAATTTTTTTTTTGCAATTATTTATATTTTTAACAATTTTACTAAACAACGATTTTTGTTTCTTAATTTAAATGGAAGAGAAATTACAATTTCAAAGCAATATAGGTATATAAGAAAACCTAACAATATAGCGCATATGGAATTTATTCTCATGCTTATATATATATAGGGTCAAGCATTGAGAAATGGTTTTACTCCTTGTATGTTATGACAAAAAAAAATCCTTTATATTACTGCCGACAGTTGCACTCAAAATCAAACTCCACTTTCATTTTAAGCTTAAAAGATAATTTATTGTAATTAAAATAACTAATAAATAGGTCTCAATATTCTTGTATTCTACTACAAGATTTGCCCAAAATTTTAGCATTCCATACTAAATGGGGATTTGCCCTTACTAATTAGAAAACTTATTTAATACACCTTAATAAAAGTCAAGACTGGAAACATTCTAGCAATATAATTAATAAGCAAAGATGCGACAAGCTGATGCTGGTCATTAAGGGCGGGTTAAGTGAGAGTCTGCAGATGGGACAATTTAGTAATTAAGTTCTCTTTGAATGTTAAATATAAGAAATCTTAAATTGTTGATACTGTTTTTGGAATGTTGTCCTTAAACAGAAACCTAATTGGATTGCTGTGCTGCATCAAATTTGAAAGGATACATACACTGTGTTTGTGGAAGTGCAAATATTTATTTCATTTTGGGAGAATTTTGTTCAGAGGTGTCACTTACGTCAAATCCAAAACTCCTGAAAACCTAAATAGCCATTTTTCATGTCGCATTTTAAAAAAATTAAAAAAAAACGAAAAGAGAAAACACAAGAATAACATCGCAGTGAGTTTGTTTTTATGAAACATTACATTAATTTATAATAACGTAAAAGGTTTTATCAAAAAGAATGAAATCAAAAAGACGGCATTTAAGTAAACAATCTTGCTGCTGGCATTAAATTGAAAATCTGTGCTCTGCTTTATAAAAATTTGAAACTGAAGCGAATTTATCTGTAACATTTCATGTTTGGTGGCGCGTTAAAAAGAAAATAAAAGATGGCATGCTTCAAGTAATGAATGAGAATTTTAGGAATTTGATAAGGTATTAGACAAAGTCCCTAAATTCAATTCAACTCAGTAAAGTATAAGTTAAGCTGTTTCACTTTGAAGTCAACCAATTAAATCGTTGTCAACCATTGTTCCGGATATATTTCAACATTTTATCATTTACCACGTTACGACTGTTATCTTCGGTATACCTTGATTATTTTTATGACAAATGTTGTACACATACATTGTTCTTGTATTCTTTTGTGTGGTTTGCAGTTTTCTTTTCATAAAAGTAATTCATCTTCATCATTATCATCACTTGGGAAACTTTGCTATTCCAAGGTGTTTAAATATTGTTTTCGTAAAGCTAGTGGATTGAATGTACACATATATTTTCTTAGAAAACAATGATTGATATAAATTTAAAAAAAATGTGTTAAACTACATAATCATAAAAAAACAGAGTAATACCAGTTAGATATAACGTATAAAAAAATTGTAAGAAAAGTTATTATGTATTTTTACTTGAATTATTTTGAATAGGTGTATACTTACAAGTAGTGCCACATAGCCATGCACTCCATTGTATGCTCTTAGCCATTGATATAATTGCCCTTTGCAATAATCTTGGCACTCAGCTAAGTCCGCCGGGACGGAGTGATTTGCATGATATCTTTGCATGAACTCTAAAAATTTACGTACATCCGCTGCAGTGATAACAGAATCATTATTCTTCTCATTTGAGTCAGTAAAAAGATCTGATGTTGTCATTTGATAGTTAACTGTGGTGGTGCTATAAAAATCGTCGACCTCCATGATTAATTTTATCGTATATACAATTAATAGAAATATGTGGTTTTTAATCTAAAAAAAAAAAACAAAAAATTGGAATCGAAATTATTACAATATTTAATTTATTAATTTGAATTTTATATTTAGTATTATTATTTTGAAAATGAGTAACCTAATAACCTAGACAAAATAACCTAGTAAAATCTAGTTGCATTGTAGACCTTAACAGTACTATAATTTTAATAACTATGTCTTTTTCTGATTTCTGATATCGCTAACAGTCTAGTGATCTTTGCATGGCCTCCTAATGCCAACCAGTTCAATCAACTTTTTTTACTATTGTTATAAATATTATTATCTTTTTATAAATATTTGTAAATTTAATAATTTAAAAAGTTTTTAATTTGCGAAAACGAATTTTTTAGAGGAAATTATAAAAATTATATTTATCATAATTTCAGTTTTTGGTTAAAATGGAAACAAATATTTTTTTAAAAAATTCTAAAAATATTCAATACAGACATATGTTTAATGTTTATGTTTAATATCCGTCTTAGCTATTAAAAGTCGGTGCGGGTCAGACTTGTAATAGTTGTTTTCCTATATTTCGATGATAACATTTTTATTTTTATTTTAAGTAGGTATTATTGCTTTGATACAAATTTTATTTTGTCTTCATTGATCAGTAAACCTATACATTTTGCAACATTATTTATATAAAAAATAATATATAAATGAGATTCTAAATGAATTCTTCTTAGGTAATATAACAAATTAGCTCGAATTAATAAAGTGAAATAATTTATTAGTATTTAGAGGATTTTCGAATAGCAAAGAAAGAAAGAGCGAACAAACACAAAAATTTATTTAATTTTATTGAAATTATATACGGAATATAAACTAATTAAAAATTCGATTATTTCCTAAGACCACGGATGAAGAGTACTTGGCAATACTCAAAACAGCGTTGTATGGTCCGCCAAATTTCAATAGAATTAAATAAATTTTTATGTTTGTTCTTTCTTTCTTTCTTTGCTATTCGAAAACCCTTTAAATTTGAATATAACTTCTTTGTCACCGTATAAAGAAAGCGTAGCTTTTCAGCAACACTAATACTTACTTCATAATTTATTAGTTATATTTGTTTATATGAAACTATGTCATTTTGTATTAATAAGGAATATTTCTTATGCATTTTGTTGTAAAAGTACATGACCTAGTGAAAATAGAGATGGCCCAAATTAGTATAAGAAATCTTTTCAGCAACACTAATACTTACTTCATAATTTATTAGTTATATTTGTTTATATGAAACTAGGTCATTTTGTATTAATAAGGAATATTTCTTATGCATTTTGTTGTAAAAGTACATGACCTAGTGAAAATAGAGATGGCCCAAATTAGTATAAGAAATCTATCTGAAAGAAATCTACAAGAGAATATGTAGCCGTTATGTTATATGCTTTTTAAATCTTGAAGCTATTGTACTTTTTTTGTACATTTTTCGTTTTTTTTTATTATAATATTACTTTTGTATACTAGTATATTAATTTTTAATCCATCATAATATGATATAAAAAGGTCTAACTTTCTGGATGGTTTCAACTACTTTATATTCATTTTTTGTATATCATATATGTTTTTATTTTGTTAATATTAAAGAATTAATAAAGAATATTATACTTTTTCTTACCTATTTAAAATTTTGTAAAAAAATTTAAGATAAATCTTTTAAACTCTAAAACGAAAGCTAACCTCATAAACCGTTACATATAAATACAATATCTATGGTTTGAAGATAATTTTATAAGTTAATAAAAATATACAACGTCTATAGGAGAACTTATAAAGTCTGTTCAATATTATTGATACGCTCATAGAAATTAATACATTTTTTTAAAAATAGCTCTATGCAACTCTTTAAAACAGACATATTATGTTATGGTTGGTGGTTGATACCACAGCTTCTTTCCATTGCGATACCATTGCGCTTCTTACAATTAGCAACTTTTTGATGTTTTAATACCACATTTCTCCCAAGAAACCCTTTAAAATAAACTAGATCCATCTAGATGAGGTTATGTAGTGTTATAGATCATTTATTTTTATTAATGAATAGTTCAAAATGTGTTTGTTTGGGAAAGAGTTTAACTGTCTTTTCTTCAAACAAGTTTTCGCAATTTTTACGATAAGTCCATGTTATCAGTCCATGTTAATAAAATTCACATACCTGCTCATATTATATAAAAGCCACGACAACTGAGAATCAGTACATATTGTGAATAACTTCCACCTATTATTAGCCATTTATTGGTAACCGTAGGAACCGATGCTTCCCTAGAAGCATCAAAGTGGACTACACTGTCTTATTTTTGATTCCCTTCAATGTTCTTATGACTGGGCGTCCGTATAAACACTGATGTTTGTGAGTTAATTTAGCCCGTCGCTTTCTGTCACACTTTCCTTTTACGAGTTTAAATTTTATAGTGAAGGATTGTAATATGCTAATTAATTGTTTTTCGTAAAATAATTAAAAATTTTCCAAAAAAAAAAAACTAGAAACACTCATTAAACATTGAGGAATATTAAAATTAAAAATTAGTATACAACAAGCTATAAAGCATTGTTCAGATATTAAGTTTTGATTGAACTTTTTCTAGATAGATTCTGCTTTAGCACACTGTGTTTTGGTAAATATTAAAAATAGAAGAATTCTGATTAGTTTTGGTACTTGGAACAAAGAATCGTCCCTAAAAGTTGCGTGCCCTTTCCAATAAATATCCTGTATATAATTCTATTTTAATCTACTAAATTTTGAATTTATTTCTCGACCTGTTTTTTTTAAATAATGGTTTTTATATGTTTTTTATCCGACTATAGGTCACTTTTTGTTGAAGTTAAAATTCTACGTTTAATATTTTCTAATAAATTCTATATTTCAACTTTCCATGAGAGTCATCATCAGGATTACGATCTACAAAGATAATTACAACAATTTTTTTGAAGATTGGAAAGCTTTTGTGAAGTATTTAACTAAGAATTTAATGTAATGATTGCCTAACATAAATTAATATTAATAAAATCTATATCTAAACGTCATGCACTTGATTCCGTTGTCTATGTTGCACAAATTTTCACTAATCACTTTTCTATAGAGGTGGGTTATATTCTCCATGTCTGTCTTGTAATTCATTCTTTTATTTTGTAGTATTTTCACGATATGTAGCATCTCTAGTGTCATTCTCTACTACTTTTCTAATTTTGAGAAATATCAAAGGCAATATACATATATATAAACATGATCTTAATAAAAAATACGTTATTTTATAAATTGATACATTAAGTCACCCGCAAATTAATACGATTAAAGCAATTATAAATACATACGTATGTATATATCTAAAAGCAAGATTCGTACGTTAGATGTTTTTAGATTTGAAAAAGTCAAATGTCTTATAATAAACTACATGACATTTTTATTGAAAGAATTTTTATTGATGTCAGTTCACTTACATTGACTTGCCATAACATATATTATAGGCTAACCGCAGTTGAAATGCAATGGAACAAATAAATCTCAAGGACATTTTTATAACAACGTGCGTGCTTTTAAATGATATTGATTGAGTTGATGTACAAATTAATTGGTAATAATGTTCTAGCCATTTATATTAATAATAAATAATCAAAATATTTTTATGCGAATTACATGTTTTAAGTCGAGATAAAATCGAGTAGCATAGCAACAAGTCATACGACTTACTTGCATATTGTAAGCAAACGTCTATCTAAGATTTAAATGATATGAATGCTCAGTCACGCCAATCAATTTTGTTCATATTAGTAAAAGTTGCCTTCATAAGTGCAAATAATTCAGTGGACTTACAACCAAAAGTTAAGTTAAAATCTAAAATGATATATCAAATATCATAAATTATTTTAAATTTAAGTTTATTTATTTCGGTTTGATGGCAAATTGCATTACAAATGTCACAATTTGTTTGTAGAATGAGTTTACTCAATTAAAAAATTGTCGCCAATTCATATCTGCAAGTATTGTCGAAGATTAATAATAACGATATGTAATATAATACATTTTTTGACAGCCTAGCATAAAACATATGGAATGACAGAACAAGTAGCTTACAAAGTCAAATTATAAAGATAAAATATAAATCCTTTCACAATATTCTATTGAATATTGACATTTATAAATGTGTTCAGGTGTCAAAATTACTATTTTCATATCTTAACAAACAAACCTAACTATTTCAATATATGTATATATATTCATAAATATATTGAAATGCTTGCCATGGTATATATACACATACCATATACAAATATCTTTATTAAGTTTAATCACTCAACTGTGGTTTTGTTTATGTTTGGCTTTGGTAGATTTCAGAGTAAATTTGTAAATTCGTCCCACTTGCATTGTGCTATATTGGACAATGTCTAGTTAAGCAAACAATAGTCAACAAAAGGAATAAATTAGAATAAACTCGGTTCCTTGCCCACAATTGTCGTCTAATTAGATCCCCTGAGGATTTTTTCTTCACTACGAGCCACAAATGCAATTATTATTTTGTCAAGTGAAATAGTCGCGGTTAGATTGATTTCGCTCTAAATTTGCTCTGTCTACAAATTTTTGGAATTCTTAGCAAAACAAAAACTGCGTAGTCTACGTTTCTGACAATGACTTCAAAAGTATGTTTACATGAAAAATACAATTACTTTAAGGAAAAATAATGATCAGATTAAAGCTTATCTGTATGTAGATCTACATGTATCAGAAGCAAACAGTTTTCACAGCAACTTGTATCTAAAATACAAAATTATTTAATCACATATTTAAATAATGTGAAAGGAATAAGTTAATGGAAATATATTTTCATATATGAAAAAGTACGCTGTACTTGGGTTAAACATTTTCAATTTTTTTTAATAGAATATTTTATTTATTTTTATTGCTTCACATAAACTTTTTTGTTGACTTCTAAAATTTTAAAATTTGTTATGTTTATAGTTTAAATATTTTT